CTTTGTATCCCTCCCAGCCCTGCACCCAAGGCATTTATGAAGATATTGAAGAGCACAGAGGCTAAGGTGGAGCCCTGAGGAAACCTCCTAGTGACAGGTCCCCACTCTGATGTCACCCCATTCACTGTAACCCCTTGTGTTTGACCCACAAGCCAGCTGCTCTCCCATCAAATGATGTGTTTATCCAGCTGAGTGCTGCACACTTTGTCCAGTGGGACACTGTGAGAGACAGCGCCAAAACTTTACTGAAATCTAAAAAGATCACATCAACCCTGATCAGCTAGGTGGACTACCTTGTCATAAACACACATTCTCATAAAAAAAGTCATGTCTCATTTCACTGGTATCTATAATAAAGTTTACCTATTTGAAAAAGGGACTTTGCTCTTTTTACTCTCAATCTAACCATAAAATTTTTAGGTACTTAACATACACATTTTCAACACAACTGACCAAGTGTTATTTTATATTTAAAATCATTTAAAGATGAGTTGTGTAAATACATCCATTTATTCTCTTGGACTTTACCTCAAATTCTGCTTTGATCACAAATGTAAGAGTTTAGTGATCTCATCTTTGTGAGTACAAAGAATTTTTGTGCCCACTACAAAAATCATTACACATTCCGACTATCATCTCAAAAGAAGAGTAAGACACAAATAGCAGGAAATGTCAGCCAGGAATGAGATAGTGACAGAGCGAAGATATTAAGACTGACTCCAGCTAACAATACAAATGTCAATTTCAAAAGCATGAAGTTTGACTGAAAAAGTGTTACAATTAATGAAAGGGATAAAGGAACAACTTTTGTCTGAATGCCAGAACAGATTTCAGAGAATGTTTACATGTATTTTCTTACACAGTATTTTTAAGTTTCAGCTTGGCACTCAAACACTAGCAAAGGCATGCGTAAATGTAAGCAACACCAATCAGATGGATTCCATGAAGTATGCCATCACCTGGCACCTTTTTGGTTAAAAAAAATCTTAGTCCAGTTGAAGGCAACAGTTCACATACCTTCAGCATGTACACATTCATTTAAAATTTTCCACTAGAAGATTAATCACAGGCAACTTAATTAAATAATGCATTAAAGAATTCATTAAAAACCTAACAAAAATCAGTGTTTTGCTATTCTGAAATGCAGAATGGTTTGGGCAAGCTTTAGTCCAATTTGTTCATTACAAAATGTTTTCTCTTGATTCTATGAACTATTAGAAAATTTCGTTAAGCATGTAAACAACATTTCAATTTTCAGCTGCAGAACATGTGCTTCCAAAAATCCTGATTCACAAAGCACTTCTAACTTTGCCTGCACATACAGCTATACATAGGAAGATGAGACAGCCCTGTACATTTACAGATACCCCAGCATTTCAAAAAGTTCCCACGATTACTTAGGAAAACTTCGATGAATATAGTATTAAGTGCTTTAGTAATAAGAGCAAAGGAAAAAAATGTAACCACAGGTTACTTTAGACCAACTAAAAGTCTCCTTAAAATCCATAGATACTGATTATGAAACTGTTCAGCACAGGTAGCTTTGCATCCTAATTTTACAGCTTTTCTTTCAATAGAATTTTCTCTTAGCAATGGTCCTATCATCAAGATTTAGATAATAAACAGCTCTCTGAAACCAGAGAACATTATTTCATTAAATTCATTAAATGGTAGAACAGCAATAGGGTGAACATGGAGCTCACTTTCTTATACCCTCAAACAGAGGGGAGGGAAGTATGAAAAATTCCCCTGAGCCCTGGGTTGTCCTTCGCTGCTCCTAAGCTCTAGAACAAAACAGAACTACAAGTGCAGCAAATTTAACCAACAGCAGCAACTACAAGGTGATTAGAGCAAGGTAGCAAAAGTACAGTTGTCTCAAAGAGGGGTTATGACGCTGCATATGGAGCTGCATTCCACAAAACATCCTGGTTTTATATCCTAGAACTAGTAATATGTCTCAAGGCTTTTGGAAATGGAAAGACTAAAAGTGCCTATGACCTCCCCCTGCCTCAGATCCCCAGGCAGAATTTTTATTCTCAGAAGTATTTTTATTTTCAAGCTGTTTTGCTAAGATTTTCTACCCAATACTTTTGTGAACAACTGTTGATCACAGTGCATCCTTCTTCTTTCTAGTGTTAGACAGCAGGATGCAACTCCATTATTCTCGAGATAAAAGAATCCTGAAACTTTTCATCCTTTTTGCTAACTGTAGGAGACTTTGATTTAATAATAATTCACTGCATTTCATCAAAAGCTCCTCAGGGAAAAAAAAATAAAAATCTGTAAACATTTTTGTAAAGCTTCATTTTCACCAAACATGAAACACACTGTAATAATATGATAGGATCCCTTCAGATGGCTGGGGAAAAAATGCATAAGAAAAACTAAGAAACAAGCTCCCCATCACAACAAAAAAAGCAGTGATCTTGGACAAAAATGGACAGCAGGACTGAGTGTTGTACTCTAACATTCTCCCTCTAAAAGCATAGTTTAAGAAATCTTGGGCAGCTGTACAGTCATAGATAAGAAGTCAAACAAACCATTACTCTTCCAACCACTCCACTAGACTGGCAATTATTCATGATTCCCATACTTTACCATCTCCCTCTGACCAGAAAACAAATCCCTCTTTCATAAGAGACTGATATTTCTTTTCCTGATTTCTATCTTCACAAAAACATCCTGCGGAGTGCTTTAATATTCTTAGCAGATTCTCATACTGCTAAATCAAGTGAATTTGATACTTAAACATTTCTTTCATGGTTTACCAGATTAGAGATGTCCTTTTCTAAAGATTCTCCTTTCAACAGGTTTATTTTTCCTCCAGTGCTATTCAAAACTGCTGGAGCCAGTTCTATTACAAAGTTCTTTTTGTTACAGCTTCCTCTGATAACTTGACTTCTCTATAATCCCATGTTGATTTGGTAATTCTTATTCTGAAGAAATTATATGCATGTGCCATCTTTTGCCTAAAATAAACTTTCACTGTAAGAAAAAAAAGCTTTATCTTATCCTTTCAAATCCCATGTGAAGATATTCTTAGAGTTAAGGAATTCCTGTTAATAGCCTGCCACTACCAATTATTGCATGCACAGAAGTCACTAACATTGTAAAAACCAGGTTTGTTATCACTGACCCTTCCCTCTAAATCACTTAATCATGAATTCAGACAAATCTGTTTGTCAAAAAAGTTACCTATTCAATTGCATGGGTTTAGCATTTAGGACAATAGGAAACTAAGATTCATTCAGGAACCCTTACACAGAAACATTAAACAGAGTAGTCCCTTTGTAAATAGAGGTGTACAAGAAGATGTCCAGGTATAAAGATTGCAAGCCCAGGTTCAAGAGGCAAATCTTTACTTTCTGCATATTCATTACCTGGAAATATTATCACTATGTGGAGCACTAAGAATCTATGTCTAGCATTATGTTCTAGATATCCTTGACTGACAGGTTTCAAGAATGTCAAACTTCTATTTTCTTACCTAGTTCAGTAACTTGTCGATCAAAAGGACAACGAACTGCTCTCCCATGAAGGGGAAGTCGGGTAAGACAGTCATGGCAGACAGTATGGCCACACAAAAGCAGCCGGGGAACTTTGTCCCCTTGTAAAGAAAATACATCTTCACAGACCCCACACTCAAGAACCTGTAAGTTGAAAAGGTTGGTTTTGAGCTAATTAAAATTAAAACTACACACAGTAAGCTATACAACAGTTTATTTTACAGATGTTCATGCAATCACAGCACATGAGCTGAGTCAGTAATTTTGGTTTATACACACAATTAATGATCATACTGTCGATCTTTTAAAAGTAAATAAATAATTTTATATTTATAAATAAAATATTAAAATAAATAAATAATTGCTACAAACATAACATTTTAACTCCTCAGCATCCTGCCTGACCACCACTCGCTCCTACCCATCTCATTTAATACACTGCCACAAGACAAGCCAACTGGTCAAGAGGCACAATCAGCAGAAACATCCTCGCAGGAAAAGGAAGCGGCCAGCAAGACCCTGCCAGAGCAGTGTTGGCCGGTGGAGTTTCCCCTCGCGGCTGATGCTCATGAAAGAGGTCAGTCATACCAAGTGAGCCACTTAGCAAGCTACAAACGCAGCCCCGAGCTAGTGTGAGCAAACTGTTGCGGGCCGAAACATCTCAAGCTATAAACGAAAAGCAAAAGATGGTCATATAGAAAGAAAAAAAACCCAAAACCAATCCATAAGGCTGGCACCGCAGGGGACACATCCTCTACCACAGGCCACCCGCACCCCGTCCTCGCCCGGCACCGCCCACTCCTCCACAGGAGCTGGGCCGAGCCTCCGCCTCACCTTCACCGCAGCACCCGCCGGGCCGCGACCACCAGGCCCGCGGCCGCCCTCCGGCCCGGTCTTGTTTACAGCCAGGGCCGCCATCTCGGGGAGGGCGGAGCGGAGCGGCCCCGCAGGAAGGAGCGGGGAGCCGCCGCCACCGCCTCAGGCACCACCGCGGCGCGCGCAGGCGCCGCCCTGCAGAACAGTAAAACTACAGACCTGCAGAACTACGACTCCCACCGTACTCCGCAGAGGCCCTGATGGGAGGAGAAGGCGGTGCCGCACCCGAGCCTCCTGCGGCGCACCGGGAGCTGTAGTCCCTAGCGCCGCGCTGCAGCCTGGGACGGACGCGCCTGCTGCCGCCGCAGTCTGTGCGACTCCTCCCGCTCTGCCGGCCATCACGCGGGCTGACGGCCATGGATGTCAACCAGCCAAAGCAGGAGCATTTGCTGGCTCTGAAAGGTACCGACAGCGCGGCCCCGCTGGTTCCCGCCTGCACGGCCCTGATTCGGTGTTGAAACAGCGTGTCTGATCCGCAGTCGAGGATCCGTTTCTCCCCCGGGTCTAGAAGGAGGTGGAACAGGGAGCGGCCCGGCGCTCGGGGCCCGCGGTGCCCGAGAGCGTAAGGGAGCGGTGGGGGCTGTTCTGCCATGACACGCACACCACAGGTCGTGCATCTGGCGTGAGGGGCTCAGCGCGGCTGCCGGCTGTTTCAGTGCTTTGCATAAGGCTTCAAAGGAAATGTTCAGCTGAAATTTCCTTTCCAGTTCCCCTGCTGCCTCTTTTGTTTGTTTTCAGGGCAAGAGGACGCAGTATAAATTGCGTCAGGGGAGGTTCAGGTTATGCATTAGGAGGGATTCCTTCACTGGAAGGGTGATTAGACATTGGCATGGGCTGCCCACGGAGGTGGTGGAGTCACCGTCCCGGAAAGTGTTCAAGGAAAGACTGGACGTGGCACTTGATGCCTTGGCCTATTTAACAAGGTGGTCGTCGGTTTTACGTTGGATTCCATGATTTCAGATGTCTTTTCGAACACAGCTGATTCCGTGGTTCCCCTTTGGATGGGGAATTTTGCCCTTTTCACCTCATGCTTAGTGTGCAACTACGAGGCTTACCTCTTTGATTCAGGGATCTCGAAGGGTGAAAATACAATTGTGTAGGTCACTTGCATGCCTCCAAAATTAATGTGGAAATCAAGAGAGTCCTGTGAAGAATTTGATAATTTCTGAATTAAAAGTGCAGTTAGTTATATGCATGTAATAAAAGAGCTATTTAGAATCTCACCTCTGCAAGCATTATAGATCAGTGAGACTGCCCAGATAGATAAAGCAGTGCAGGTATGAATAACTTCAGAGACCATGTTCTCGTTTTAAAACTCTCCTGGACAAAGTTTTTAATGGTGTCTCCATGTGATAGTAAAATCTGTTAACCATCATTTAGAACTCAATAAACTTTCCAAATACATATGCACACATACAATAAAGGCAAAAACACAAGAACATGAAACAGCAGCAGCTGCCAAAGCGTTTTGATAATAATTAAGTCAACGCAAAAAGCTTTATGGAGCTTTTAGTAGAAATCAGTGCCATCCTTGGTCTTGTATTGGATTTAATCCAGACTGTAGGTTCTACAGAAGTGAGGAAGGCATGGGGAGTTTAATTACTGGCATTATGATTGTATTAAACGAAATCTTGATGGTGACAATATTAGATTTTATTACTTTAATACCATTTATGTTACTGCTCTCCATCAGGGAACAGGAAATGATTGCAAGTTTCTTGCAGGAAAAGGGTAGGAAATAGGAGAGCATTACTGCATGTTTTACTTATGTTTCATAACAGTGTTTGTTGTTTGCCCTTCGCCATGCTCCTTTGTGTGGAAGTATAAAGCCTTTGACAAGTTATTTAGTTATTCCAAAAGTCTAATAAATTAAGAAATCCGTTCTTTAAGGGTTAAAGCATAGTTGCATGTAATGCTTTTAAGTTTTGAGGCTAAAACTAGATGTGTAGTTCTGATACAAAATGGAAGCAGCTTTAATTTGCCTACAGCACTTCCCTTTTAACTTTTTACTTTTAAACTGCTGTATCAGTGAGTACTGTTTTGGGAAGGGTTTCTGTATTATATGTGTTTTCTAGTTACTTTATGTACCTTGGCTTAAAATGCTGATATATAGGGGGAAAACTCTTTAAAAAAATTGTCTGCTAAATTTGAGAAAACAGGTAGTAGTAATTGTGTGCCTTTCAATATGCATCATATCAATATAACCAGAATAGTGATGGATGGCTAGTATGAGATGGTGACAGTAAAAGTGTTCTCTTGGAAAAGGACTGTTTTGAGTAAGAAGTGTGTGTGTGAATAATGTTCAGTGTACTGAAATTACACTGGCAATGATGGAATACAGCTGCTAACGTTCAGCCTAGATAAAATAGAATGTTCTGATATATATCTCATGTATTTTAACTACCTATTTCTTTCTTTAAAAATATCCTAGCTACGTTTGTGTTAATATGGTAGTATCTTATTGTTTTATAATACTTCTGCTTTAGGTCCTGTTTTCCACTGATCTTTACATCGTGGGGCAAGGAAATTCTTGTAAATAAGATGTTTCAGTCTAGATACGAGAATCCTTATCAAGAGACTGTTTTCCTAAGAATAACTGGATTCCTACTGTTCAAGCATGGAAGTGGTCTTGCACTATCGACCACATCAGAGAGATCTAATAAAATTGCAGAAATTTGCAGAAGCAGCAGTGAAGGAGTTTCCCATTCGCCAATTACCAAGATTTGCACCCTGGTTTCCAAATGATTTACACAGACTTCCCCTCAAACCAAAAAAGCAGGCACCTGTTATTTCTTGTGAAGAAGTGGAAGAATTGAAACAGCTTTCTACACCTTCAGAACATGTCATAGGATCTCCTGATTATGACTGCACAAAAAATCTCCTTGAGTTTAACTCTAGCATGAAGCATGGTCCGACTTTAATCCAAGCACAGGCTGTTCACAGACCAATTAACTTGGACTACCAAGGAGAACCACCACCTAATGGGAAACAAAAATTGAAAAGGTCTTGGAGTGTCTCTCTCCCTAGTGCTAAACTCAAAGAAAAGATTCATCCTTTATCTCAAGAACTGCAGAATAATTTGGAAAGACTAAAGCTGCATGCATTTTGTAGAGCAAAGTGGACAATTGAACAGTCTGTTTGTAAAAACCAGAATTTGGAGGACATATGGATAAAATTGAATAGACTGATTAAACAGAATGAATTGCCATCTTGCAATGCTACTATCCAAAGATCTGTGGGACAGATATGGATTTTCTGTGATATATTATACTGTGAATATGTTAGAAATATTCTTAGGGAAAAGCTAAGCCTTACAGATAAAATGAATTTGCTTGTACATAAATATGGAATTATATTTCGTTTATAACTTAAGATATAGTTTAATAATAAAATTACTGCTAGGAATTCTAGAGTTTTTAAGCAGTTTAGAATATAGAGACCTTAGAACAACTGGTAAATTAATGGTAAGAAAACTATTTAGATTACTTTGCTGAAGTTTTCTAACTATGATATATTTCTCTAACTTTGTTTTGCCTCAAGACTTATAGTTCTGTTAAGATTAGTAAGTTTCTGTTTGGCTTAGTACTGCATTTTATAGCTTTTATCTACTTCGGTGGTCTAAAGGAAAAAATTAAAAATTACAGACTATTGTGGCAAGCTATGTCAGATAATGAAATTTATGCTTTCAGTTAAGCAAAGCACATCCTCTCTGCTTCATTGGAATTAGGAGAAGGAAAGATGTTTTTAAATGAGTTGTAGTAATTGCTGTGATAGCTGTAACTGACACCAAGATTTTCAAGATCTGATTATTTCCTGAAGGTAATCTGTGAGTTTTTTTAATGAAGGCATATCCCTCCCATGAAGTACAAACTTACTTTATGCGGGATATGTGCACTGTCTTAGTAATGTTAGCTATATTTTCACAGAAATATTGATAGCTTTAGTGGAAGCTGTGGGCTGAAAAGTAATGAACAACTTAATTGCTGTTTTATGCCTTTGATAATTATTTTTTTCCTGATGTTTCTGTTCTTTTGTCTCTAATTATATTTGAGAACAAGAAAACACTAGCTTCCAGCTAAAAGTGAGGAAATTAAGAAATGAGATTTCTATCTGGAATTTCTTGTTTGTTGTCTTCGAGAATTTGAATGCCTTTTATGGTCAAAAGGCTGAGTTCAGCATGACATTTTGTCTTCTGAAAGAATGAAGTATTCCAAGGGCATGCTGTTCCTGTTCAATTGAGACTTTGGAGGGTCAGTAGAGAAGTTAAACTGGGATCAATATGACTGCAAGGTCATTTGCATTTGCACTGCTTCTAATTCTAGATAGTTTTGCTGTAGCTGGAGGTCAAGGTCTGTAGTATCTGGAAAAGGGGGAAAACAAGTGTTTAACATTTATAGGTTGTTAGATTGTCGTTAATGCCGTTCACACCAGTGTACATAAGCATAAGAGAGATCCCTCTGTAAAAAGAAAGTAAATTCCCCTTAGACTTACATTTTTATGGCATCCTTATCTTGAATAATTATATTTTATTATAGGTATTACTTTTTTTTTTTTTAGATTAGAATTGCTCCATTTGAGTAATTGACATGTAGTTTTAAACTTTGACTGAATTTTAAGACATTTGTAGATGTCTTATATTGATGTTTGGGGTGTTTGTGACATATAATATGACCACTTAGCAAAATTGATGCAAAATGCTGTCTAGACTGTGTTATAACTGCATTATAACTGAGGGTTATTATTAGTTTTAAAGTTTATATAGCTACATTTTTTGCTGACATTATATTTCTGAGCTTAACATTAACAGTAGCAGCATTTCTTTGTGTATCAGCATTTTTGAAGATAAAATTAAGTAAAATGCAGTGTGATTTGAGTTCTATTTAATGTGTTTTGTGTCTAGGATCTTAGAAGAGATTATATATTTAATAACATTAATAGTCCTAATAAATGATAATACACCTATCATAGTTTGTTTTGACTTCATTATGTGATGTATTTATTTATTTTCTGAAACATGACTTAATTCTTTCTTTAGAAGCAGTCAGCAAATACTAGTTATACAGACTTAGTGAGAATTTAAATAAAACTAGATAATGCCGATAATACAGTCCCACTAGATTAATTTGATATACTGACAAAAGAGCTGAACGAACATTTTACTAAACAGAAGGAGAGATTGTTGTCACTGTAACGACCAGCTTGGTGCTGCTCTGGGTCGGCTTGTACCATTGAATAATGGTAGATGTATTGCTAGCTGTGAGCACCTCATCTGGTAACTGTTTTTTAAGAGTAAACACCAGCTTTGGCTGCAGAATTACTGCAGGCTTGGTTAGCGCCAGTAAACAAGCTGAAATCCAGGCTTTCATTTTGTTATCTTCAAGGAATGCTTAATTCATAAGCATGTGTAATTCAGTATCTTTTCTTTTTCATCTTCAGTGTTGATGTGGTTCACTATTTACTCTATTTTGTAGATCTTGTTTTGTTTAATGTATTCTGTGATTCTAAGTCTTCAATGGTCCTGTTTTTTCAACTTTTCATCATTAAGAGAATGTATGATTTTTTTTCATGTGAAAAGTGAGAATTGTTTGTGTGTATGCTGATTTGCGTAGGTCTGCTTATGGTGACATAAGCTCTTGTGAATCAATACAGCCCACTGTATCCAAATGTATGTATATCAAAGTAATTGAATACTTCATACCACTGGAAACAGTGAATGCTGTCTGGACACAATAGCTGTACAAAAGTACAATAAAAATAAACCTACCATACATGTATCAGTGCAAAGGTATTGTTTAACTTGTTGCAATCAAGAGAAATCCTTTTGTTTTATTTTTTAGTTTTAGTTGGTGCTTTGTTCAATTTCAAAGAAAAAAACCCCAATGGTTTTTACATATTCAGATTAACAACTTAGGTTACAAATGCTCAATTTTGTTTCATATGAATGCCTTCATGATAAGCTATATACAAGTTTAGGACCTTTGGTTAATTTGAAGAGGGAGAAATTCTTTTCAGAAGTAGCACCTTAAATCTGTCATATAAGTGAAAATAATGTAATTTTGAGTAGTATGAGTTAAAATAGCCTTTGAAAATATCACTTACTTGAATTAGGGTTTTTTTAATAGCAAAATCTAATGATTTTGATTTTGTCAGTATCAATAAAATAGCTTTGTTTTAAGTATTTTCATTAGGTTTTTGTGCTGGTTTTACTGGTTTGAGTTTAAAGTTTGTGACTTAGAGAAAAATAAGTGGTATAAATAATGTAGGCTTTTAGTCTTGTAACTCTCCCTTGTGAAAGTTATAGGATAAGATGTAAATGCAATTTCTTATAGACTGGTGTTTGACTGAAAGGGTCTGTATGAGTCATCATGTCCCATTCTAGAGCAACAAGGGTCACAGGACAGGCACTTAACCTGTTAAGGTCCACCAACAGATGAAAATGACACACTTAGGAAGACCACAAAGCACTTAAAAGCTGTAGCAGATGTAAGATTTTTAGCACATCAAATTGAAATCAGTAGATTAGTAGGTCAGTTCACCAGCGATAGAAAGCGGGAGGGAGCAATGGCATTACCAGTGTTCATGGATCTTAGAATAGCAGGGAGGTGTTTTTTTTATTGTGAAAGGCCATGTGATCCTTTTTCAGGCTGAGATTTATTTGGTGGTTGTGGTTTTTTGGGTGTTTTTTGTTTGTTTGTTTGTTTGTTTTTTTGTGGAAGAAGGGCAAGGCATAATTATTCTTGAAGAACAAAGTTAAATATAGTTGTTCGATTGACCAATGGTTTTGTCTTTTTATTTTGATTTTTGCAGTGATGAGGCTGACCAAACCTACCTTATTCACTAATATTCCAGTGACTTGTGAAGAAAGAGATTTGCCAGGTAAGCCTTTTCTACTGACTGATTATTAGGTATGTTTTAACAAGTTTAAGTACTGTGACCATCTAACAGTTAGATGTTAATGAGTCATGACCTCCCGTAGACTCTAATCTGAAACAGCAATATATTTTAGATCTGGTAATAGCTAAGGGAAAGTACCAAGGTGCACTTCATAGCTTTTGACCTATATCTTTTTAAGATTGGTGATGACATTCAAACACATGACCTCAATGTTCGAGCAATTGACATACACAGTGAGAAGTAGTTATGTGAGGGAAATGTGTAAGTGGTGAAAAATTGGCATAACTATTTTTTTTTTTAATTTGGTGAAAAGGCCCTGGTAGTTAGAACCAACATGAGTGTTCTGTGGAAAGCAGATCTTGCAAGAATCACTGGTTTTGAGTTGCGCTATGCTTGGTGTGCCATCATAAATTGGAAATCCCTGGGTTGTCTCCCAGATATAGTTGGAATCTAGAAGTCAAGTATAAAAAAGTCAAAGGAAAGATTGAAGAAGGAAGGTTGTGTGGAAGTACAGAGCAAGCAGGAGAAGAAAGTAAATGAGGTTGATTAGTTCTGTTATGTAATGTTAGGTTTAGATGGATAGAATTTCTCTCAAAGTTCAGTGTTAATTTGAGCAATTCCTTTTGGATTGTTCCCTTCAATATGTATACTGAGTAAACTATTGGATGCCAGTGTCTTGAAGTTAAGTTATAGCTTATAGGCAGGCCTATGGATATATATTTTATCCCTAAACAAGTTTATTCTAAAAGAAATATATCTGAAATAAACTATATCTGAGTAAGTGATTAAGTGTCTAACTTAAATGTAGACAAACTTTTGGACTTAGCAAATATTTAATTAATAGCAACTTGATATTTTTACAGGCATTCTATTTAACCAGCTCATGAAAGATGATCCTTCTACTGTGAAAGGTGCTGAAACTTTGATGTTAGGAGAAATGTTGACTTTGCCTCAAAATTTTGGGTAAGAATAAATGATTGCAACTGTAATATGCAAGATTTAGGATTCATTTGGTTTAGGATTCATACTTCTCTTGCTATCTGAATACCATTGTTCTGCAGTGAGATGTTCAGTCATTTCAAAAATAATACGTGGCTTGATTTATAAATATATGTATGTATGCTGCCTGATGTTTCTTGTCTGTAGCCTGAACCTAGTAAGAATTCAAAGCTGAAAAAGATTTGCTGCTATGGATGAATTTCTAAGGTAATCCAATACTATAAACCAGATGTTATTCTAACAGAATTTACTACTGGGTTTTTTGTGGGTACTGAAACCTGTCTTCTTATTCCTGTCAGACTTTTTAGCTAGGAAAAACTCTGATTTGTTTGTTCTCTTTTAAAACTGTTTGTCTTCAAGGATGTCTTCAAGGATTGTCTTTGAAGGTATGACTTCAAAAACATGGGTGTGCAAATGCCAGTTTTCTTCTAGAGTTTGATATGGCAAATGTGTATGTGTGTGAACTTAAAAGTGTTTCAGTGATGTTCTGGATTTTATTAACTGTTAAAAAAATCTTTTCTTATTTATTTTTTTTTCCTGGAATACAGAAATATATTTCTGGGAGAAACATTTTCCAGTTATATTAGTGTGCACAATGATAGCAATCAAGTTGTCAAGGACATACTGGTGAAGGTATGTGAGAGAAATCCATTTATAAAAAACTTAAAAAGTACAGTGATGATACTTTCTGATAATATATTGCATGATTAATGCTTACACACAGACTTTAGGAAATGTATGTCACTTTTTCCAATTCAGAAAATATACTTGGATATTGGAAAAAGTAAGACATAAAAATAGAAATTATTATAGAAATCGTCAAAGATTTAAATAAAAACTAGGATTGTTGTAGTTTTGGAAAGAGGTACAGAACTGAACAGACCGAGCTCATGAAACAACAGCCAAAGTTTATTGATGGGTGCTCCCTTTTATAGGGGCTTCAAATTTCCCATGCTCATGCATCTGATTGGTTGGGGTCTTAGCACCGCCCAGCTCACTGGCCAATTGCACATCTGCATTTGTGATTGAATGCGATTGGCTGGTGTTCCCAGTTTGAGTTTGAATCCAGCCTATCAGTGTCTTACCCAGGGACTTGTTTACTTCAGTTCTCCAACGAACTAGGCTGGTCGAGTTGAGGTCTGTTGCCAGTTTATCTGTGCAGCTTACAGACCAGCTGTAGCTGTCACATAGGATTGTGTCAAAAAATGGATTTATTACAGAATCATAGCTATAGAATTCCAATTTAGGTTGGAAAAGACCTCTATGGTCACCAAGTGCAACTGCTAACCCAACACTGCCAAGTCCACTGCTAAACTATGTTCCTAAGTTCTATATCTACACAGTCCCCTGCATTGATGGTGGCTCAACCGCTTCCCTAGACAGTCTGTTCAATGATTGACAACCCTTCTGGTGAAGAAATTGCTCCTTCTAGCCAATGTAAACCTCCCCTGGTGCAACTTGAGGCCATTTGCTCTTATTCCAATTGTATGTTACTTGTGAGAAGTGACCAGCTCACACCTGGCTACAGCCTTCTTTCGTGTAGTTGCAGAGAACAGTAAAGTCCCTCTCCTGAGCCTTTTTCTCCTGTCTAAACACCCTCACCTCCATTTACCTTCTTTGGACATGCACTCTTCTATTTAAAACTTCTCTGAAGAATTGGTGTAGTACAACTTTCCACAGCTAAAAAAATGGAGTTACAGTCACCTTCATTTTCAATCAGGTCTTCAATTTCCTGTAAAGCATATACTGATCTTTATGTTATATGAATTATTTTCTAGAGGATTAAGGTGTTGTGTTTACTGAGCAAATAAAACACTGAAAGCAGAAATTTCAGAAGTCATTGTGGAATTCAATATAAAATAAGTAGCTATTTTGTAACCTGCATGGTAAAGGACTGGAGTACTTACATGTTTTAGAACTTGTCTTTAGCTTTGTAAGTATCCCATCATCATATATGTTACAGAAAGTGTCTGAGTCAAGAATATCACAGAATATTTTTTGTTGGAAGGGACGCACAAGGATGAGTAAGTCCAGTTCTTAGGTCAGTGGCCCACACAGGGATTGAACCTGCAGCCTTGGTGACTTGAGCCCCATATTCTGACCAACTGAGCTCCTACAATATGTGTGAAAACACGGGGTACAAAATGCTCAGTGAATTTTAGTTCTTCACACCAGTACTTTATAGCATAAGTTGTACTTTCTTTAGGTTGTGTTAAACGGCTGTAGTTCTAACCAGTGCTTTGTTCTTCTGTCCCCAGGCTGATCTTCAGACAAGTTCTCAGCGTTTGAACCTTTCAGCTTCTAGTGCTGCAGTGGCAGAGCTTAAACCTGACTGTTGCATTGATGACGTGATCCATCATGAAGTAAAGGAGATAGGAACACACATGTAAAATTTTAACTTTTTCTGTTAAATGATCCTAAATAAAACTGAAGTACATGTGTGCTATTCTGCTTTTGATATAGCACAGGTTTTAAAGTAATAGAACTTTTTTTTTTTTTACTTGGTTTTTTCAGCTTAGTTTGTGCAGTAAGTTACACTACGCAGACTGGAGAGAAGATGTACTTCAGAAAGTTCTTCAAATTTCAGGTATTTCATGAAGTATTTTACTCTACTTTAAATAACTTAGTGACTCTGTAAAACACATTTTAAAACATTTGATACTTCATAAGCACTTTATGTCCAAAAAATCCATTCCCTTTTAAAAGTGAACCATTAAAAGCCACTGCTTCAAACGTCGCACAAACTGGTGTTTTCTAATTACCACAACATTAAACATCTCAGAACTAACAAATATTACAGCTAATAACTTTTACTAATTTATTGAGAAAAAAAATCTACTCTTAAAAATTCCCTTTTTATAGCAGACAGCTCTATGACTATTTTTAAAGTCAGAATGAACAAGTATTGGTCATTCTGGCTTTGGTACATCCAGCTATTGAGCTTATATTGTAAAATTCTGGGTTTTCTTTTGGTGTGTGTAACCTTACTAAATTTGAATTAAATAGTTCAGTTTTTAAAGGAATTTAAGTGAAGAAGTCTAATGTATTATATCTAATACCAACAAAAACAATTTTCTTCCATCACAGAAATTTCAAGACTTGAGATAAGAGTGACTGAGGAAAGCAAGGAACTAATCTGTGGACTGGTTCTTGCAAGAAAGAGTCTGTTTACTGTGTATTTCATGGATGTTTAATTTTTTAGAGAAATACGTTGAGACTTGGATATTGGTGGACTAATCTTCATAGGATGGAGGATTACATTACAAGCTCTACTGAATACATTTTTAGATACTCTGACAGATGTCTGGTAATACAGGAGCATTATATAGTTTCGTCCTGAAGCTGTTTCAGGGGAAGTTTGGGTTGGATACTAGGAGAAAGTTCTTCACCCAGAGGGTTGTTGGACACCAGAACAGGCTCCCCAGGGAAGTGGCCACAGCAAAAAGTCTTGCAAAGTGTTTGGACAATGCTCTCGGGCACATATTCCCGAGATGGAGGTTGGAGTTGATGGTCCTTGTGGTTATTGTCCTACTCAGGATATTCTATGATATTATGGGTATAGGAGATGCACTATTCTGTATAGATGGGGGAAAATGATTGCATTTTGCTGGCATTTTCTAGTATTCTGTCGATAATTCAGAAAAAAAAAAAGAATTTCAGTCTTTAGAAGGTTAAATTGTGATGCATTAAAAAGAACACTTGAGTGCTGTTAATACTAGTGGGCTTTGAAATGCCAGGTATTGATTAGTCAAAGGTATTTTCTGACAATCCTAGAGAAAACAAGTCTGTGTAAATTTTTGTGTTACCCTCCCTCTGAAACTAGCATCTCTGTAGAGTTTTGTAGAGTTTTATTAATTTTTTATTAATTTCTTCAGTGAAATTAATTTTCATCTTTGTGTGCTTTGTCTTGCTCTCCTTATGAAACTGCTTCCCTTTCAATTTCTCCATTCTTTTTCTCTGTTCAGTGTTCTGTTTCTCTGTCCCTACTGGGCTTTTTCTGATTGCTTACACATGCATGTTTAAGCTTCAGATCTCACCTTTCCTCTGTTGACTAATGTTGTTCTTGTCAGAGCTTTATACAAGATGTTGTTTTGTCTCCTTTAGATTTTGTATTCAAATGTATTTGTTTACTTTTTTTGGAGATTCTGCTTGCATGGTGTAATTGCCATGGTTTTTAATTGGCAATTAAATGGTTTTTATTGAGCATATAATTGCCCAATATAAGCAACTAAATTGTCAAAACAGTTGAAGCCAGCTGTCAAATGTGAAACCCTTCATTCAAAGAAGGAAATATAAATATATATACACTTCTGCAACTTCTATAAATACTCTCTGATTCATTATGAGAATAGCATTGCACTGAGAATTTTGGCTGTTATTTTTTAAATTTGAAATGGAGACACCAGTAGGAGACCTGAGAACAATCAAAAAGAAGTGTTACAGAAAACTGAACTATGTCTACAGTGAGAATTCATGGCTGCTAGTGATGGAGATGTCACTAGCTATTTTATAATAAAAAAATACTCTTACAGATTTTCAGATTTTTCATTTACATTTTCTAGTGTCTGAAGTTGAACTGGTGTTTGTTGGTTTGAATCAGCTTCTTTTAGCCATTATATATAGTTTTATAGTGATTGATAGTGCCTTTCTGTTCCAAAGTTCTCACTAAGTTATTAACAGCATTATTAACAGTTTTCATGGAGAGAGAATGAATCCTTCTAAGGTTGGGTGGTTTGTGAACCTCACAATAATTTTTTGTATTTGTCTGGAATGCCAGTTGAAATTTACTGCAGTGAATAGAAAGACTGTTTATCAGAAGAGAGAGAAAAAAATACAGCATTTTGGAAAATTTATAAGAAGCTCACTGAAGAAAAATATTGGACAGAAAAGAATCTTTTATCAAGCAACAAAGACCTAAACTAAAATTTTTAATTCTTTTTTTGGCGAGAGATAGTTATGAATACTTAAAAGATTTGAACTTTTAAGATTTTAAGATTTGATGCCTTTTAAAATGCAGAAATCTCAGTGATGACAACTTTTTGATCTTGAATTCTTCAGTGCTAAAAAATTTGTTGACAACTTGGAACATTAGAGGTATCTCAGGGTGCAGTGCGCTTTTAGGTAAACAAAAAAAGTTTCCCTGTGTAATGGGAAACAAATGTCTTCAGAAACAGAATTTAAATTTGTTTCCTTACAAGTATGATAGAAAATTATTTCTTTCAGTTACGTTGCTTTATAAATGCTTCATATTTGAATGTAATAAATGCAGTGGCTTTATGCACAAAGCTCAAGCATTAAGAACCAACACTTTATAATCATATTTTATATCATTTGTTGTGTTCTTTTCCTGATTGAATCTCATGAGATTAATTAATATGATTTATTAACTATTCATTTTATGTATTATGATTTTCTTTAATTTCTTAAAACAGTTGCATTTTCAAGAAGGAAGTGAAGGCTAAAAAAGCTAAATGCATGATTAGTTCTCTTATGTTTAGAGAAGCCCTCAGTAACTTTTGTTCCGAAACTGTGAAGGACTTGTAAATGTTAGATAGCTCTTGCTCACAGTTGAAAGTGAATGCAGGCCGCTGCATGACCCAGAGTGGATATAGTATTATTTTAAACACACAGATCTATTTAGAGCACTGAATTTGGGCAGTTTCATAAGAGGCCAGTGCTTAGGTGGAGTTTTTCAGTATGAGGAGACTGCTTAGTAAGAAAACAGTCAAGTCAAGTAAGAAGCAGCGAGGTTATACTCTTGAGTTGATTCTCTCATATGTTCTGTCATGCACCTGCTATGTGTAAGATCAAAAGGAAAAATAACACTTTTTAGTAAAAGACCCTAGCACTTCAAAACAGTCTATGCCAAAGTTGTCTGAAAAACTTATTGTCAATCTGTCTTTTTTTCCATTTCATTCAGGTTCTTAAACCACTAGATGTGAAAACCAAATTCTACAATGCGGAGGTGAGAACTGTGTGTATTCAGGTTTGTTTTGGCATGCCGGGTTTGTTACTTAGATTAAATTTGAAGTGCTTTCTAAGTACACCTTTCTGAGAAAACTGATCAGTTCTAATGTACAAATGGTGGTACATATATATTGTAAAGTTTAAAAATAGATAGGTTTTTGATGAAGGGGCAAAAGAGATGTTAGAATCTTAATGTAATTGACTAACAATTTTGCATATATTCCAGTTTCACATGAACTCAAATACTTTCAATAATTGCTTGTATGTTTAGGCTGATGGAGTACTTACTGTAAGGGAGATTAATTGTTCATAAAGGAAATGACAGATTATCAGAGTGATTTTTTAGAGTGGGGAAAATTTAAATTTAAATTACTTAATTAATTAATTTACTTAAATTTAAATTTTCTCCATGTAACTATGACCTTTCAGTTCAGTAATTTAAATTTTAGGTTTGTGACAGTTACACACAGTGCTTCTAAACTAAATGATCTTATGTATGCTTTACATATTTATTTGGACATAATTAGACTGCATTTGTCTATTTATGGGACGAATTTGGTACATATCTGTAGGCCACAGCCTTCAAATCATGCATTGACTAGGTGTGAGGTACCTGAGCAGAACTGGAACATAAACACATAGCACTGGCTGAGCCCTTTATAGAGCTGCTATTATCTATAAGTGGGAATGTCTGGAGATGTCTTCTACTGTGATCTAAGGACAAAAATAATTCTAAGAAACAAGGTAATTTCTCTGGGAGCAAAATAATTCTCTTATTTACTGTGTGGATTATATTATTGTTTCAGCTGTAAAGTATGTGGTCTCTTTATACCTTACTTGTAAATTTTGTGATAAGGTAATTCTAAGGTAATTCTGGGCAAACTTTTTACATGGAAAAAAATTTTTTTTTTTTTTTTTTGTTTTCATAGCTCTTATACTGACTGCTCTTGATAAGTCTTATTTAACTCTCAGCCACCAATTCTTCGTGGTAAAAGTCTTTGAGAAGCTTTGATTTGAGCTGGTACTTGTGGGTTTGGGTTTTGGGGGTTTTTTGTGCTTTTATTTTCCTCTGCAGAGTTTTTAAAAGGCTCTTTGATGCCTTTTGTTCTTCCTGTTCATGAATTTATGCAACTCCCATTATCATCTTACCCATTCAATTTATTAAAAAAACGATCTTAAAACAGATTTTAGGTGATATTAAGTGAGGAATTTCCATTTGCCTAGCAAGCTGGTATAGTAGAACTCCTATCTAATTTCTGAAAGTACATGAAGTGTTGCTATGTCTTGTGACCATAGAATTCAATTAACTTCTAAAACCATAGAAATAAGTCTTTGTTAGCTGTTGTGTGTGGTACTACATTGCTGTGAAAGCACCAAGAAATTCATCCTGACTATTATCCTTGAGAGCAGGGGAGAAATAAATGGTATGTGTCAGTTATTAGTTAACTAAAGATTTCTAAAGGTTGACTAACCAGTTAAACTGTTACCCTTAAGATTACAGATGTGATGTTGTCTATTCATAATGCCTGTTACTAAAATTATTTTCTATTAATATTCTAATGATAATCCATAATTTAATTTCTTCTAAAACAAAGAATGATGCTGAACCTTAATCTTCTTGCTTATTGCTTATATTGCAGTAGCACCCAGATGGAGTTGATCAGTGAAATTTATGCATAGAACACATGCCCTGTTTCTCTAACCTGCTGCAAACCTGGGATTGAATTACTCTCTTACTGACTTTAATGTGCCTTGAAAAAAGGCTTTGTAAAAGGTTCTGTTCCTGCAAGCGTGCACAGGGAGGTAGACAACAAAGTTTGCACTTAAAATTGGGTTTTGGATTGATGAATATTCAATAAAGAGTTTTTCTTGATACTATCCCAAATTTTATGACTTGCAACATGTTGGCTTTGCTAGGACACATTACCATATTCTTTTTAAGACATTATATATGAGGATACTTCAAATTATCTATAAGGTGACAAGGACAGTTTTTCCATTTCATATACAACCCATTGCATGGATTGAAATGCAGGACAAACTTTAAACTTACTCAAAAATTAACTCCTTTTTTTGAGTCAGTTTATTCTACCATATCTTGTCTGTGACTTGTGTGCCTTAAGCTCTACTTTGGATTGGTTCTGAAGCAAAGCTAGTAAACCATGTAATCATACTAGCTATAAGTTATTAGAAATGTAGTTGTCATCTTTGTTTGCATCCATTTTTATTTATGTTTCTGTCTTACTAATGCTATCTTGTTTAAATGGTGCAAAAAAATGCAGAAATGCATTTTGTTTGGAAGTTAGCCTCCTTTTTCTTTAACATTTAACCCTAATTTCTCTAATGTGTTCTTTTTTTTTATTTTCCCATTAGAGTGACCTCAGTTCTGTGGTAATTTTTATTTATTTTTTATAAATATGTATGCTTTTTTAATTGCTTAACTGTCTCTGTGCTTATTATTGACATTCTTTACAAACATAATGGAAAAGCAATGTTTGTTCTGCATATCATAAACTGATGTTTTCTCATCTTTATATGTGCAGCTAATCATTTAAATGGTTAGCTCTTTCTTTAATACCCATTGTTGAAACTAGAACTTGATAGTTACAGATTCTTGTCGGGGTCCTCCTTTATAATATAATATAAAAAATAATATAATACCTCACCAAAATTTTATTAGATCTATTATTTGAAAAGAGAAGTTATTTCCTTTCAAAAATTTTCTGCTTTTGAGTCATGGAAGTGTAGGTTTCACCACAGCACTGCTTGTGTAAGCTGTGACAGAACTCACATCTGGTTGGTGGAGACAGTGGGTTTGAGGAGAGAGCGGCAGTTGGATGTTCTTCCTTCCTTTGGCTAGCTGGGACTGCTCTTCACAATTTTAACTGCATGTAACAGTTGATTGAGTTATTCTGTTACTTCTGCGGTCTGATTTCACTTTAAGGTGTGCCTTCTATTAAACTGCATATTTTGACAAGATTTTTTTTTTTTAAAAAAAAAAACATGTAATACTAAATCAAATTAAGAATAACACAAAACTAACTTGCTTTTTCATTATGCTGCTTGTTTTTTCTTTTCCCTTTCAAATTAGCTTTTTTAAACTTACGCCTTTTGCTGTTTTGAAAACTACTAAAATTTGGGTAAATGAATACTTTGAGCAATGGATTTATGGGATATAAATTGTATCAATTTAAATGACAGGCAGTAGTAGTAATGATTACTGAGAACCATGTTTTAGTTGGGATTATTTCCAGTGCTTGCAAGCATGAAGTGTCTCTGTAACCCATTGAGGTTGCACAGTTTTCATTACTATATGGATGCTGCTTTGTATTTAATGTGTTTATAAGGCAATACAAAAAGTTACACAACCATTCCATATTTTTCCTTCTAACATAATTTTTTGAGACTAAACATATTTTGGTTATCTTGTCCTACTTTTATTTTGTAATTTACAAGCAGGACTCCATTTATATAAAGAAACATTTATTTACACTGATCAAAAAGAAAATTTAAGTTTTGTTCCGCTTTCCCCACAAAAGTACTTTCTTAAAATTTTATCATAACAAAATACTCAAACTGCTTCAATCTTTAATCTGTAGAATGGACTATTTCAGTTAGAAGGGACCTACAAGAATCACTTAATCTAATAGCCTGAATCAGTGACTCTTTTTTAAATGCAAATTTGGTATCCTCCTTTTTTTAACTGGCACTTCTTTAATTGTAGTTTTCACTTTTCTGGGAGCTCATATCTCAATAGTCTGAGGCTTCCATAATTATTCTGAGACTTTTAGACATGCTAAGTAACTTTACTGGTCTCCAATTCCACAAAAGAAGTGAGGCAAAAACTTCTCTAGTTCTATGGTTTTTCATTTTCTGAAGTTTAACAGTCTATAGCTTTCATTTCTGTACCAGAATTGGTCCTTCAATACCATCTTGAGGCATTCGCTTCAGATGTTCTGAAGGTAGAGCACCAGTTAAATTACTGGATGCATACAGTATTGGTAACTTTTGGCATGGTGCAGCTGAGTGAGAGCAGGGGCTGGATTTTGCATTTTAGCTAGAATGCTAGTAGTTGATAATAAAATCTCAGAGCATGTACCTGAACTATTTTACACCAGTTAAAGAAAAACATATTTAATTTTTTTTATACAGCTTGATGCACTAGTGATCTGGCATGGCATGTTCTTGTGCACTGCAATTCCTTACCATTTATTCCATTTTTTTTTAAGAATTTGGATAAAAGCTTGAGTTGCTGTTAAGTTGATGAAAGTCTTGGGAAGTGGTGATTTAATGCATTACAAATAAGCAGAATCTAGAACATAGCAAAATTATCCCACATCCATTGTTTGGCAAGATACCTGTTGACTAACACTTTTGCTCCTGTTGTTACTGGGATTAAGGTTTTTTCTTGCATTAATTAATTTGATTTGCAGGCATGAACTAAACATGTGTGACCTTTTTTTTTAACAATAGGACTGCCTACTGTTTTTAATAACACTAATCATATTTTCATGAACTTGAACTTTTGATTTTTTGCAGACAGATGAAGTGTTTCTGGAAGCTCAAATTCAAAATATCACTACCTCTCCAATGTTTATGGAGAAAGTTTCTTTAGAGCCATCCATGATGTACAATGTTGCAGAACTGAACACAGTTGACATAGCAGGGGAAAGGTATGTTCACATTCAGGATATTTGACTTTGAAATGCTTTGTATTAATATTTCATGATGCAAGTATTAGTCATTTGTCTATAATGGGAGGATTGTATGCCTTCACTTGAGTAAAAAGATCAAATTCCTATTATGTATTCAACTGGAAAATTTGTTACAGTTTTCTTTCCATAGAAATCATTCTTAAAAATCTACAATTCTACCTTATAGAGAAATATTGAGCCTAATCCTCAAATAATTTGTAACAATGATGACATGAAAACTTGAAAACATAGTATTGTTTCAGTATCTCCTATATAAAATTTAACACAGATCTAGTTCTGACCTAATCTTTGTGTATAAACTTTGCCTTACAGGACTCATCTGACTAATCCTGGTTTCCTATCAGTAAACTCCTTACAGTTTTCAGTTGTTCTAATAATGATATAGCAAGGCACCAGTCAAGGTGGATCAGTGGTACTCCCTCATGGATTTAGAATATTAAAATTTGTCCTGCTGAAATAAATTAAATTTGAATTAGTTAATACCTAATACCAGAATAACTGACTGGATACAAATGCTTGTGAATTAAATTTGGCTGTTTGTGCTTTGCAGTTGCTTGGGTTTTTGGAGGTGATGATTGAGTGCTTCAGCAGTAGGGGCTGAAGTGAAAAATCTGTCTTCTCCTCGCCTGTTGAAGGATTCACCGGCAGCATAATGGAGCTTTGTTCTTACCAAGTGTTTGCATCCACCATAATAGTTTTTCTCCTGAAGAGGAATCTTAGTTTCATCTTAATTTACTGTGAGGGAAAACAAATAGCAGAAGAAAAATTACCAGCGTTTTTGTTTAAATGCTAAGATGCCAGATAATTATAATGTAGCAGAGTGGATTTCTTTCTTACTTGTCTCTGGCTGAGAAGAACAGGTTCTTTTATTTCTCCATGGTCCTTGGTGCTACATAATTTTTAGAGCTGTTTTCTGTTATGAAAACAAAAAGTATTCTATGTGTTTTACCATTAGCAAACCATGTGTATACGTACCATGATGGTATGGGGTGGGGAATGGGGGAAAAAAAGCTTGTGTTCTTAATCTTCTTCAAAATAGCTGTTTAAATTAAGACCTAGTGTTTTTTTTCCTTCCAGTGAGTCTACTTTTGGTGCAAGGACATATTTACAACCTATGGATACACGTCAATACTTATACTGTCTAAAACCAAAGCAAGAATTTGCAGAGAAAGCTGGAGTAATAAAAGGTGTAACTGTGATAGGTAAACTAGACATTGTATGGAAAACTAATTTGGGTGAACGAGGAAGGCTGCAAACTAGCCAGCTCCAGAGAATGGTAAGTTTAACTTAAGTGTTAATTTCACTTGGCATTAATTTTTAAGGAAACTCAATGAACAGTTTTAATAATGACTTGGGAAAGTGTGAGCTGCTTACTTTCTGAGCCTTATTTTTTATTCACACCTTTCTGTATGTATTAGAATTATTTCTTGTATTTCTTCAGTGAAGTGTGGCTAAGATAATGGAGTGAGCACTTTAGTTGTCAGAATCCAGTAACCAGTGTTGCAAAATACATTTGTTGGAATAAAATTAACTTGGATGCCATTTGGCAACAAACTGACAAAAGAACCTCTTTAAATATGCCAATTCTTGACATGGAAGTTGCTCCCAAGTTCATACATTTTAACTTGGAGTAACATCTTCTATATCTACAGTTTTGATTGAGTCTATCCTATTCTGGTTGATTTATGAACTGTTCTTGAATTTTAATTTGTAATTACTGTCTTGTTTAAGTCAGCTCCACAGCCATCTAATGCCTAAACCTGGCTTGCATCTTCTCACTTGAGGTGAGAGATAGAGAAGGGTAGTGAAAAAAAACTTTGACAATTGAATCTCAGTGTAAGTTTACAGAGCTTATAATTGGGTCTCTGCCTTTGTCATTCCCCCAGTCCCCAACTGCTAGTACATTCAGCAGTTCTGTAGAGAAGTCACACCGACTTGGAACTAGGCAAGAAAACTTAGACACTGGAAATTCACAGGAAAGACACTAAAAAGTCACTAAGTCACTGAAATGTGTCTTGATTTTTAATTGAGGTGTTGAATATGTACATAACTTCCTTCTAAACTTAGTTACTCTGCTTACTTTGAAACTTGTTGCTTGTTTTTAACAATAAACTGTTTAATTTTCAACTGACATTTCCTATCATTTCCCTTTAGACACATTTCTTTTCCCTCCTTAAATGACTGTTGTCTCACTCTGCATCCCTTCTTGTTTAACCTTTGAGAACTGCATGTGAAGCACACACTTCAACACTCCAGGATTAGTTTTGGTCATGCATCATTTTGTGCCTTGTGATTAACAGAAAAACACTATTTTGTATACTTTGAGCAACATCTATCTTTAGAAAAGCAGCAGATAATTGGGTTTTTTCCCCCTTCTGAATTGCAGTGTAACTCCCTCTTTTCTTTCCCTAATTTTTTAAGTGCTATCAGATTATTTAATTTCTAGATCTCACCCTTAATCATTTTCCTCCTAATCCATTTGCCAGCACTATAGCCGTTGTTTCCCATCCAGGCCCAGAATTTTACCTCTACTATGTCCCTCAGCCATTGTTACAGGTCACATAAAAAATGCACCTTTGAAACAAGTATCCACATACCATAATTTGTGGGTTTGGTTGGGTTTTTTGGGGGTGGTTTTTTCATGTTTGGTTTTTGGGTTTTTTCTGTGTGGCTTGAGTAAAACTGTTCCCAGTGTGTAAGTCATTGACTTTCTGGACCTCTTTGGAAATATCTTTCAATCATGCTATAAATAAAACTTTCTCTACAGCATCCTTTTATCAGCAGAATTAGAATATGTACAATAACTAAGCCTTGGCAGGCAGGACAGATTTTTCCTCAATTCTTCCCTCATGGTCATAAGGATTCATAGGGATTGAAAATCTAAACATGCTTTTTCATCTGCATGTTACTATTTTGGATCAACCCTTTGGTATCTAGTAACCAAAGATACTTACTGTATGTAGGTTTATTAGTAGACCATATGAAATGTGTTTCACATTTCATAATAATTGTCATGGATAATTGACAATCACGTGACTTTCTAACTGATGACAATTAATTATTTTGGCAGAGGCATAGATGACTGAAATGGCAGTTTTTGTTTCTTAAGATGTGGAATAGTGGTGGGTTTATGCAGGGAAGTTTTACTGGTTTTGTCCACACAGATCTGTTATCTGCCTAACAGAGGTTTTAGATTAAAGCTGATCTCAGGAACTGTATATGACTATTTAAACTCTCATGAAAAGTGTAATAATAAAGATTACGAAGATGTTCTTTATTTGAAGATGGAGAGCTGCTGTGATTTCCATACTAATCAAAAGCATAGTCAATCTTCTATCTTCAGATCTCTCTAATTCCAAGCTTCTTTCGGGAAATGAAAACTTGAGTAAGAACTTCAATTTCCCTATCCAACATCTAAGAATATACATTCCTGTTCCTTTCCAGGCTCCTGGTTACGGCGATGTAAGGCTTTCATTGGAGACAATACCAGATACTGTAAATTTGGAAGAACCTTTTGACATCACATGTAAAATAACAAATTGCAGGTAACGATGTCATGCGATTCTTGTACTTTTTCCTGAGAGGGTGAGTTGTGGCTGGTTTTATGTATTCATAAAAGTCAGTACTTCCTTCTGAAACTACTTAAACCTCGTCTCTGCTATGATTTGTGGCAACACAAACCTACTTGAAACACAGAGATAAAAGGAAACCCCAAAGAAACAACTACAACTAAAAAACTTACATTGTGATCTGTTAATACTGTACTGAACTATGAGATAGCCAGAAATCTGTAGAGGAATCCCATGAATCTGTCTACAATATTATTTATGATTTCACCTCATACTTAAATCACAACCCATCTTAGGGTTGCAAGAGTGACATTTAAATGAAGTAATTCTAAGTGGAAGTTGAGCCCAGGGACTAAAGTATGTTTCTGGCGTGCAGATACTTCTCATGAAAAGCTTGTAGTCCATCCAAAGTGTAAACACTTCTGTATTATCCAATATTGCTAAACCCATGACAGGATGCTTGTGTCAGCTGTCTGCAGCTGAATTACTGTGCATCACAATAAATACTGCTTGCTGCAGTATAATTATTCATGAATCTTGATTAATAGTAACCTCAATAATAATCAAGCTCTTACATGTCTGCAGTTTTAAATACTTTAAAAAGCCCACAGGTTTATTCTTGTTTTTTGATTTCCTCTAGCAGTGAAAGGACTATGGATCTGGTTTTAGAAATGTGCAATACTAATTCAATCCACTGGTGTGGAGTTTCAGGAAGGCAACTTGGAAAGCTGCACCCAAGTTCATCCCTCTATCTTGCACTTACATTGTTGTCTTCAGTGCAGGGATTGCAGGTAAGTTATCTGTACAGTTTTATTGTAAAATAGCTGTTTTATAATATTAATAGTTCTTTCTAACTACAACTCTTCTAAATATTTTCCCCTTCTAGAGTGTCTCTGGCCTAAGACTTACAGACACATTTTTGAAGAGAACATATGAGTATGATGATATTGCACAGGTCTGTGTAGTTTCTTCAGAAATCAAGCAAAGCTGAAGAAAAAATTCTGTAGTTTTACTGGGCTTCTTTTTATTTTGACCAGCTTCTTAAAGTTTTTGCAGTCATTGTTTTAAAATGAGTACAAACAAAATCAAATCCCTATATAGCTGTAAATGTAATAATGATAACTTAATTTGTCTGAGCATTTCTTGAATGTTTTCAAATCTTTTATCTACTAAAAATAAAACCTTTTAAAAAAGTGTAGTTCTAGCAAATTATATTGCATTTACATCAGCTCAGGACAGGGGTATGAGATTGATAGGAAATACTAACATTTTGTGCTTATTTTTCTTATTTTAATTTTTTTAAAGTATTTAAACCCTTTTAAAATTATGTCTGAAAGAACTGCTTCAGTTCAAAAAAACTGACCTTTTACAGACAAGTTCCTTGAATCCAAATAATAAAAAAAAAGAAAATATATGGTATACCTGGAATTTCAGTGTATTTGCATGGTTACATGTATAGTCACAGGAAATAAAACCTGATAAAGGCATGAGATGAAAGAGTGCAGCTGGCACTCTTGAGGCACTAGGAGCTAAGAAGTGGAGTATAAGCCAAAAACTGTTTGCTGTGCCTCTCTCTTTGAAGAGGAAGCAATATGACAAATCAGTCCCAATTATCTGCAATCAGGAGCAGAGTTGTGTGTCCCTGCAATACAGGACATGCATTTTATTTTCCAGTTAGTGGGGACCTGAATATTAAAATTGTAGAACTCAGTTTTTTATTGTTAAAATAAGGTGGTGCAAATTAATTCTTTGCATCCCAGAGGCATTTAAATAGATTTTTCAGAACAAAAAAGGAAAAAAACCACCCTGCATTGCTGTCTTAGATCAAGTTTCTCTAAATCATGTACTGAAGGAAGTTTAGGGCCTGGTCAAGAACTACAATGTGCTTTTTCCCAAATAAAAAAGCTTTGTTTTGACAAAAACTGGAAATAATTTTGGCTGAAATATCTATGGTCACGCATAGGTAGCTATTTAGTAGATAAAATGGCGACTCTTATCTAGTTTAACACTAGGTAAACTACTGTTAAAGACTCTAATCAGCAGCTTGTATTTCTCAGCCACCATGCTGTCATTTAGCAACTTTTGACACTATTTTATTTAAGGCTTCTCATGTACAAAATCTTAATGCAGTATTCAGTGTTAAAATACTGGATAAATTTAGGACCAGCTTCATATATTGTGGGACTAAGTCCATACAGGAAACAGTAAATTAGAAATGTATCCTGCCTATGTGATAAAATCCTACCAACATGAACAGGTATTTAAATAATGCAATTTACCTATTTCTTGAGATACATAAAATATTAAACCAGAAGACGACAACTATACAGACAAAAAAGTATATAACTTTATTTTTAATATATCTGCAAGTTCAACTACACAAATTGAAGGAGATGTAACCACATGGCAGTAAGAGGTAGGAGAGATACAGAAATAGTAGACAAGTTGCCTTATGCCAGTATGATTTTCTGTTGCTGTGAAACAATCTACTCAAAGTTACAAAGCTAGTTCTCAGTATGCATGAGTGATTTTAACTTTGCACTTGTTACAAAACCAAGAGTGCAACTGAAACAATTTCTAAGCTGAATTTTTCATTTGGTGTCTTTATGATCATAATTAGAAGAATATACTCCCATGCAAGCAGGTTATAGGAGTTTACAACTGATTGCAAAATATTTTCTTCTCTAACAAATTATCATACTTATACAGTGATGGAACAGTAATGATACAAAACCAATTAGGTGTAAACGTGGATTTGCTCAGTTGAATGATAAACTGCAATTGACCTTAGATTAAAGCAGTATTTACAGGGACTGTGGTTTTACCACCTTATCTAGCAGGATGAAAAATTTTAGCACAAGATACAGAGCAGTTACTACACAGGAAAAGATTCCTTCCACACCCTGTGATTAAGACATGTTGCATGATTGAAACAATCTAGGCAATTCAAAGAAAAGCAGACTTTAGCATAAATGATCTCTTTGTTCATGGTTTCAGTGGAAAAGCATGTAATGACAGCTCCTGTTACTGGTTTCACTGTTTTTTGTTTAGGCTATAAAGCCCTTTCTGTTAATACACAAGAAACAGAGAATGTTTACTAGTAAGGTATTGTGCCAGTCAATTGTAGTACATTCCTGAAGGCTTAGCTAATGCTGTTAACATTTTAATATATATTCTGTATTAGCTGAAGTAAAACATAAACACAACAATACAGTAGCATGTGAAATGAAAGTTACAACTCCATGAAGATGACTGCAAGAGAAGTTTTCACATAACTAACTAATGCTTCATTCCATTTAACCTTGGGGATTGTTCTCCCATGAAGCCAGTAAGCTATGGAGCTTGTACTTGACAGTACAAATACACAATTTATTCTGCCCTCTTTGGCTATTAACATATTTTGTAGTTCTCAAGGATCTCTCATTAAATTCTTAACACTGTCTTACAGCAGAAAAGTAACTGACTGCATGAGGATTGCTGTTTCAAAGCGAGAATAATTTGAGTTTGTAGAGATACTGGCAGAGCTGTCCAGTCCACCATGGATTTTTTTTTTGGTTCTCCCTATCAAATCTAGTGAAACATACTTTGAGCAGTTGAAGATATGACAAAGAATTAAAAGGAACTGAGAAGTTTAACAGGGTACATACTAGGTACAACGCTTCTCTCCTGACACAACCCACTATTCCAAGGAATACCTATACACTTTTTGTAACCCACCCAGAGCCTCCATAAGTCTTCCTTCTAAAGGGTATTCCTGCCCTACTCAGTGTAATTGAACTTAAGTAATTTCCTTAAATGGATTAGATTCAGGATCTGAGCCACCTCTGAAAAAGATCTCTTTAGGAATTCTCTTGGCAATAGATGTTGAGTCAGAAGCTGTTACATGAAAATGTATTTAATGTAAAGCTTAAGTATCTCTACAGCCAGCAGCTACACCAACTTAGAGAGAATTTTTAAAAGCATTTTAATGTTGTACATAGGCAAGCTATTCAATAAAGTATGAAATGTCTTAAAATTGCTTATCTATTAAGCTTCACTTCTTTATTCAACAGATGGTAATATGGATTTCCTAGATTTGTTTTCTCCAATTCCTTTCATTTCTCATTGGATCCAGCTGCATTTTTCTGTCTGGTTTAGTAGGATTTCAGTTGGATATAAAGTTTCGGTTTAGTATCAATTGTATATAATCCAATATAATTAGTATCTGTCTGGTTTAGTATCAATTGGACATAAAGTCTGAGGTTCAGGAGTGCCTGTGTATTTTTCCATTTAGGAGTCTGTTGTTACTCCTCCATATCTCTCCTCCAGACTAACTGGCCATGAGAAATCACTTTGTCTAAGAATGCAAAGCAGGCTCCTCAAATTAGTTAAGATATACAAAAAGCAAAGTGTGTTGAGAACCTCCCTGGGCTAAGAACAAGTGTATTTTGTATCAGAAAGCAGTGTGAACAGTAAGCACAGTAAAAAAAGTTAACACACTAGACATACATAGAAGAGCAGCAGTCTTGCAAGAGTAATATTAACTGAGCAAGAAACAAATACTATAGCGTCGAAAAATCTTTAACTTGACTATATAACCATCATTTTAGATAGATATGTGTAATTAAAAAAAAATCCCCACTTGTTTAAGCCAGTGATTTATCACACAAGAATAGAAAAAGAATCCTTCTAAGGCAGTTCTTTTTTAAAGTTTTCAGTACTAGTTATTTGTACAGTCACAGGCTCAGTTTTAGCTTATTACAGTTAAGAATTTAAGTTTCTATTAAATACTGCATACATACGGAATGTAATACAGCTTGCCATCCCTAGGAACATAGTGCCATAATTCTGACCTCCAGGGCTACCATCATAATGTGAGGGTATACATGGCAGTAGAAAAGCCTACAACTTCTCTTTCCATTCCCAAGCCAAGTTCCATTTTGATTTCTGTGCATTATCCTACACAGAATTATTGTCTTCTCTTTCTCTACAATATGTAGTACTCCTTCATCTCCAGTCATCTCCCTCTCCTCTGCCCAATGAAGTTGAAAAGTATTTCCTGTTACTCATGAAGGCCCCTCCACAGGATTAAGGAAACAGACTTCTCAAGCATGAGTTTTAAGTACATTCTGTACTCCAACACTACTTAATGCTCATTATAAAAGGGCACATCAGATGGGCCTATTGTTTCAATATTTTAGTATTTCAATACTGTTTGAAGGAGTACAGCTGTCATGATTCTCATTGTATGAGTAACGTTGTAATGCTCTTTTACACCAGCATTTTAGAAGTACCTGTTAGGCAGGATCAGCACACTACAAAACTCCTCCCCACTCAGCAGCCCTGGAGGTCAATCTGATGCACATACTGAAATGACTTGGACTTGGGGATTTTAATAAACCACCTATTCAGTGTATTAATTTTCAGAGGAGTAACTATACATAAACGCTATGTTCCAAGTTATGTGCAAGAGATCTGTTTACCAGATTTATTCTTGTTTGCAAACACACATGAAGAATTTTCTGTCTTCTATTCAAGCAGAAGAGTTAAAATGGTGCTTTTGCTACTAACTATGGTATGCATTTTGGGGTTATATATCATTCCAATTCACATGACTCCTTGAAGTCAGGAATGTTCTTCAGTGCTGCCACTCAAATACCTGCTCCGGATATGATTTCTCAGTTGCTCTATGAGCTCAGGATTCTGCTGCTGTATCTGCTGTGCAAACTGCTGCCCCCTGTGTTGAACAATTTTAAGTGAAATCAGCAAGTGAAAGTAGCATTTGTAAGAAAATAGGATATCCCAATACAGCTGAAAGGTGTATTATATTAAGATAAAAGATATCTTAATTTACAGTCTTAAGGTATTTGTAGTATTATGAATTTATCTGGTTAAAGTGTCTCCAAACAGGATTATCATCATAAATTTATTTTCATTCTTTAGCACTATTACTATTACCTTTTATGGTAAAATAACACATCTGCTCCATTGATTTATTCCCTTCTTTTTGAGAGGATCCACTCTGTTTAAAATAACTACTCTTAGAGTTGGCATACAACCTTATGTTAATGGTTCCAGAAATACAGTAAGCAGTTGCCGACTTGTACTTTTGAATAAGATGTTATTAGTTGAAAGCAAGCATTACTGTCAAATTTTTATAACTTGCATGACTGAAGTAATAACAGATCTATCTGCAACAGTTGTAGCTTAAGAGTTAAATTAACAGGGGAGACTTATTCCATGTAGAAGAGAAGTGTAACACTTGTTTACTAATAAAAAACAAGTAAGTAAAAAATGTGACTTCACAAAAAGCCTAGCTCATCCTCTCTTCTACATTTTGTGCAAGTGGCAAACTATCAAGACTCCTTCAAACTACAGTGCAGGTTGAAGGAAAGCCAGATTTTTGTAGATGTCTGTGTAGTGCTCATTTTTTGTGAAAACAGCTCTAGATTTTGTCAGAGACATATCTGTCTGTGATGTAAACTGTAAATTACTTTTGCCCTGAATAGCTGAAACTTAAAAATAGTTTGGAATTGGCTAGAATGCTGAAATAAAGTAAAATTGTATGCCCTCTAAGAGATCTTGGCATATAAGCAAATGGCATGTTTTTGTGCAGACCCTCCCAGATGGATATCATCACTATAGTATAAAAGGTCTGGTTTTTGTAATGGTATTCTTCATTATCCTGAGTTCTCTGAAACATTCCTCATCTAAATGAAGGGATGCCAGAGCAGAAATTGATTTGACTTGTGCTAAGTAAATCTGTAATTTTCCTAATTAGTATCTGAGATACCAGGTCGTAAATTTATCCACACAATTTGAAAGCACATGTAGGAATACTTGTTTAAAAGCTTTAAAGGAATGGTTTTAGTAAGTGGCATTGGAAAATAACATGAGAATCAGAAAGAGAAGCTGAGCACACAGCAGTTCAGTCATTCCAGTTGATGGAAATGTATAGAGCAAACAAACAAGGTCCTGGAAAACAAGTCTTTGAGTTCTTTGTTTTAATAACAAACACTGGAAATAGATCACACTATAATTCATTTGACACTGTACCCTTTTAAATCGATGTTGCAGTTACCCTACTACAAATGTGACAGTTAAAACTGCAGTTCTTACTTACGCATGGATCAGGCTGGACAAATCCGAAAGGCCACCAACCCCAGCAGCAGGGCCACCAATGGCATTTGACATCATCCCCGACATCCTGGAACAGTTAGCACAGTGTTGGTATTAGGGTATGCAGGGACCTTTACTGTAAGCAGTAAGCTCCAGTTCTTTTTTTGAATTGCTGAGGAACTAAGTTGCAAGGAGAAGAAACTACACTTTCACAGTAAGCAAAATAAAATTACATTTCCAGTAAAATATCTAGATTTCAAAAATATAGCTATAAGTACTAGACATCTTTTATCAATTAAATGTCTGAACACATTTGTTTTAATGGTACCCCATTTTAATACTTACAGTTGTTGAATCTGAGGATTTTGCATTAAGCTTGCTGCCTAGAATAGACAACATACAGCTGAAATTATAAAACATTTACTACTTGGCTATCACTTAGAAAAACAAAGGAAAAAACCCACATGCTGCATTCTGTTTTATTACAAAATTAAGTTTACATGCAGAGCAAAAAGAATCACTACAGCAATGCATTTTATGGAAATAAAGCTGATACAATTTGTTATGCGTTAAAGAAAAAATACTGGTTACAGATTCAGACATGAAAAATGGGGCAAGCCATTTAACATAAAAAAACCCAGTACCAGAAAACTAAACAAACAAATGAAACACTGAAGAATTGCAAGGACAAATGTCTTCTACTGGACTTTTTCGACAGAAGTCTGTATTTTGTTGCTTCTCAGCCTGGATAAATTAATTTTATAACTATTATTAGTACCAGGCATTAAGAGTTAAGATTATGGCCACAAAATATTTTGGATCAAACCAGAGTGTAAACTTACTTTGTAGCATGGTTTTGTGGGAACATATATCTTCTCTGGTAACTGCATATCTTCTTACTTTGTAGTAAGCATGAGGCTATTTAAATTTTGCATTTATTAGATAGCTCTAAAACTATATTGCATTTACCATAGTGTAAGGGTGTCTATGGACTAATACTATAGAAAAAAACATGTGATTTTTCAATGTTAGTAAAGTTATTCCTACAGAAATCAGTGTCTGTATGACTATACCACTGATAGACAAAACACAGTATGTGCTTCTTAACTCTCTTATTAAAGATACTACAAAAATCAGATGTATCCAATATTCATTTTATTGATCAATATATCAACATATATAGATAACTGCAAAGTAAATCAACCTTTTTATCTAGTTAATAGTTAGATACAAAATGTCCCATGCAGGTCAATTCTGTGCTCAATATAGTGTTAGCTTCTTCCATCAGTTACCTAGTTAAGGGGCCAAAAACAGAGGCTACAAGCAATTTTCTCAAGATCAGACAGTGAGACAATTTTTTCACCTAATAAAAGAACCAAGTAACTACACCTCGGGAAAATAACTCATTCATTCCTGGATAAATGCCCTGTGTTCTATCTAGTTCACCAGACATCTTCTGGAAACAGTGTAAAAGATCCTTTCCCCAGAGCCATCGCCATACATCACTGACTCTAAAAAGACACAGGTTGTCTTAAGTACATCATGTGGCCACTGAAGTATTACAGAATTCCAGTGCTATTTAATCATGAATGCCATCAGAGAACTTGCTCCCTCTTTCCTTGCCTACTATGTCTATTATTTGGACCATTTTATCAAATGAGATGTACAGATCTCTTTTGAATGCAGCATACTTCCACACAAAATACTGGTTGAAATGTGCTGTTCCAGTGAAGCTGACAGAGGGCTTATAAAGTTTTAACTGCTTTCTTAAATTAAGTAAGTTTGGGGCTTGTTTTTTGTGGGGTTTTTTTATTTATTTTTTTCCAAATTCCATTCAAAGTTTATTAATTAAATTTAGCTAAGAAATCGATGCGGAAAAAAATACTGAGGGATAAATGCATAACTTGTTATTGTACTGAACATAAAGGAATATACTATATGCTATTTATATTATTTTTTTAAAACTCTTAAGATTATTAGGGATAATTTGAAAGAGTAAAAAGAGAAAAGTCTCTTGGGTTGTTCTTCCAAAGAAGAGTTACTTTAGTCCTTGTATAATTTTTAAGTGCTCTGTGGAGAATTGAGAAATTTTCAACATGTTGTTGACAAGAGCTTTACTGTCATATACATAAAAACAGCATAGCTAACCTATGTGTGTTTTTTTCCTGTAACAGAGAATTAGCTGGATTATTGCAGATACATGCTTCACTTTTTCTTTCGAGTGTAAAATGATGTAGAAAAGTTGAAATTCAGTGTAATAAAACCATTGCTATAATAATAACCATTAAAATTGCTTGTGTTACTGAACAACATTTGTTCTTAAAAGTTCAGTTTTTTAAAATGGGATAATGCAAACCTTGAGATATACTCACCATACTAATGAAGGCAGGATTGTTTATCAAGCTTGCCATGTCAAAACTCAGTCCAGTTCCAGTCTACAAACAAATTGCAATTGAAGCTAAGTTTCCTACAAAATCCCAGTTAAAACTATTGTAAATAAATAGATACAGAGCAAACTTACAGGACTGGACACATCTCTTAGTTTCTGTTCTGCTATTTTCAAATTTGACTTATAAGAGTCATTCTCTGGATCAAGATCCAGTGCTTTTTGGTAACTGGTAACTGCTTCTTCATATTTATTCACTGAGGTCAGAGCCAACCTAATGTGAAGTAAAAGAAATCCTGGTTAGAACATAAATGATCATCAAAAGCTAATGATCTATTTTCTGTTCTAAGTAAAATGGTATCTCACAACTGATTTTTAGCTGACCACTTAATTAAAACATACTATGCTATTGTGGTACTGCTGCTTAGTGTAAGCACTTGTTTTTGTAGAAAAAGGGATCCCTCAAGAACACATCTTGCATTGTCTATTTTATATATATATGCAAGTTCCTTTAAAAACTCCTTGGTATCATCAAGTGACTTAGTCACTTTAAGAGCACAAGCTAGATCCAGCATCTGTGACTTTTTGCATAAGCTCTAAGTTTTTTCCAGTTCTTTTGACCCAAGAGATTATTTAGAAACTTACATTTCTAAATATGTAAGTAGGGCAAAGATACTCTTAATATGAGTTATGCAGTGTTAAGAAAATGGACCTACAAATACATTCCTTATATATATGTAAATACTTTAATATATACATATATAAAATATATATTAAAATATGTATTTTAATATAGATAATTTTATTAAATATTTGAATATTGAAGATGTTTAATAACCATATTGGTGTCTTTATACATTTATATAAAAATTATTTTTATTAGTAGTATTATCATTATTTTAAAATACTGGATGTACAAGTTTCAGCATAATGGATTTTTGTCTCAGGATCAATATAAAGGTTCTCCTTTCAGATCTTGTACTTGACAAATGGGTTATACAGCATAGTAGTAATATCTGCAAAATGCTGTAAGAAACCCTTGTATTAGGGAAGCCTACTTGATGTTTTGAAAAAAGACTGCTCCTGCAGCTCATGAGAGCACAGGACAGACCTACTACTTCTAAGCAGTACTGGTTTTCAAATCTGATTAGCTAATATATTTAATATCATATTTCTTTGAACTGTTCCAGAAGTCCATCTTGAAGTTTGAATTCTATCTGCTACTATATTTTCAATTTATACTGACCGAAAAATGAAACTGATCTTTTCCATATTTTGTAAAAGATTTGTGTAACCCACATTCAGCTATTTAGTACTTCAGTTCACCTTCTGATGCTGAGCCACACAGCCTGGGTTGATAAGCCTGTGCTTATGCCAACTAACAGACCTTGATCTTTCATCTCATGCAAATAAATTCAGTGTTTTAGATACATCTGTGATTGTCATTGCTCTCAGTAGGAATATAAAGCTCCAGGAATTTCCAACACTGCTCCTGGAGGAACCCATTTGGAATTAATTCACTTAGCCCTAAAAAGAACAGTATAGCTTTTGGGGCCAAAAGGTATACTGACCAGACACAAAATGCAATCCATTATTTCTGTGATGCAACAGTGCTTTTTACAGAAAAAGGATTTTACAGAGAAAGTTTCTTGGAGCACATGCAAGTCAGAACAGCAGATAATTTCTTTCCTCACACCTCCTACACAGAGAAGTGGTCTTCCAGGATAATGCTGGAATTCTGCCTTTAACTGACATTCCCACTTTAAAATGGCTCCCATCTCTGTATATTTGTCTAATTTCTGCAACTTTCTGTGACATATAAAGAATTTCTGTCAAATTCTGAGAAAATCTGGTATGTCTCCATAGAGCAGTCATAGAGCACATCTTTTTCATAGGGACTTTTTGTTGAAATGGTGTTTTCTATATACAGGGGTATAGGGGTGGGATTTTCTCTTATTACTAAACAAGCAGTTTCCTCATTCAGCTTATCCCAAATGTTTACTCATTTGCTGAGTTAAGCAATGGCTTATAGCTCAAAATATGTCCTCTATTAAAACAACCAGACAATAAAATAGAGGGAAGCTTGATTGCTTGAGAATGGTCCCTCTTTCAGTGTGTATCAAAGAAATATTTGTCTTACACCCAAAACTCTAAAATAGCCTCCCATCTCCAATTAAATCCGCCTGTAGCATCCCTTAATATCGGTGAAGTCAAGGGAGCTTGGATTGTGCTATATGAAGAAACAATCTAAGGAGAATTAAATTAAATAAAACCAATTCAATAACCAATTCAACCTAAAATTTCTAAATTAATTAATCTGTTCAAAAGCTCCTTAGTATGGGTTACTATTAGTAAATTGAACTGTATTATGGAAAGCTTTTAAGTTCTAGAATTCCACTACATTTTATCTTAAAATAAATGTCCCCTGCACAGTTTTGTCACAGGCCAACAAGAACTATCACAGTTAGTTTCAGAACACGGTTCAGAACTTAACAGACCAATGCAGTTTAGCAGTAGGTTGTTTCAATGTGGCCACTCTATACTGCAAACTAAAGTTTAGCAACATGGACATGAGCCATTTTTTGCCAACTGATTCAACAAACAATCCCAAGCATTTTTTAATTTACTGGTATAAATATAACCTCAAAAGACATATGCAGCACTAAGTCCACTACCACAATGTTCTTGATTATTCAAAATGCAAAGCTAGACATCTTGGAAGAATGGCCCTTCACTCAAACCAACAGCCTGTTAGAGCATTTCTGACATTGTTTTCAGGTAACACTTAAAACCACCCTCAAGACACTATAGTTAATCTCTCAGACATTGCTGAGAAAACTTGCCAAAGAGACATAGCTTATTCTTCCTAAAATACCTGCTTCCAAAGAGCTATGAAAAAGAAAAATTAAGGCTTTATTCCTGCTAGGGTGAAGCCCCAATGCTGTTCTCCAACAGCATGATTGACAGATTCAGTGTTCCAACAGCAGAATTTTGATTACTTGTAACTGATTAGGAAGTAGAAAAAAAGCCATCATTACTTCCTAAACTAAATCCAGTAAATTGATAAATTGAAAGAAAAAATCTGCAAACTGATGAAATCTGCTTATATCAACCACATATAAAAAGAGCTGACTGTCTGATAGGGTCATCTTCAGAAAACTGTTATACTTACACAACAACAGTGTTCTGTAACTGAATAAAATAACCTGGTTCCACATATTTCAGAAAATCTATGGTGATGTACATATGGGTCTTCAGTGTTTATTCAGATTTCTATCAGCTTACCCCATTCTTCCATATGCTTTGCTGTACTTTGGATCTATTGCTATGGCACTCTCACAGTCCTTTATTGCTTCCCTGAAGTTGTTGAGCTTACTTTGAGCAGCAGCTCTAAGAGAAAGATGGTAAGAAAATTGAGCTTAGTCAAAAAAAAAACCAAACAAACAAACAAGCAAAAAACACACAAAAAACCAAAGCCAAATAAAAAAAAACCCCATCAAAACAAAACAACCAAAACCTAAGCCTAGATATTCACACATTTGTGACTTATTTAATCTTACTGACTTTTCAGTCATTATTTAGGCTATGCTTAACTTTCTTTAAAGAAGCAGGGCAGGCAAATGTTACAAGTATGTGCCTAAGTGCATTACTGGATTATGGTTTTAGAGAACATGCACTCACCTCCAAGGACACAAAGGATAAATAATTCCAAGGAACTGTCTAAGATCTAGCATATTACTAGGCACAAAATAAATCACAAAAACTATTACAAGAATTGAAACGGTCAAGTAGCAGTTTATATAAAAGCACTGTTTAAGGATAAATATTTTATACAATTGGTGTTTTCCAGCAAGAAGTACTGATTTACAGCCTTTCAAAGGAAGGCTGTGATTTTTCCCTGCTCAGGCTTTTAGAAGTCAACTCAAGCTTGTAGGTAAATCACAGTAACACTTCTCAATAACCTCTGCACTACTAAATTACAGTTGCATCTCTATATTGGAGAAATACTAAATGTTGCAGATATTAATACAGTAAGATTAAAAATCTGACCAAACTAAAAAGGACATCAAAAGAATGTATCAAAACTTCAAAAATATATCAAAAACAATAATCAAAACTTCACCAGGGACCTTGAAAGGTCTCAAGCCTCTCATTTATGCTTCCTTGGTTAAAAAATATGGTAGAAATTACAATATTTTCATTGCATAAAGCATATCTCTTTTTTATTAAGATTCCTTTCTGCTATGATTAGCTCCAAATTGCATGAGCTTTTCTGATTTTGATTAAAATGTCTTCTGAATGGGACTACTTATCTATTTTGGGCTGTTTAACAGGTGTCCAACTCCACAGATGCCAGTGAAGATTTATAAATAAAAGCTGGGGGCAATGCTTCTTGTCACATGTGTTTGAACAGAAAACATTTTTCCATGTTCACAAGAAGATTTACATGGCCAGTTAAAATTCTGAGGGCGTATCAGCCCACTCTTTTTTGCACTGCTATGAATAAAAAGCAATCCCTCTGAATTCAGCATGTACCCATGGCTCCCAAACAAACTTTATGATAAGAATAAAGTATATTTATTGAAATACAATATCATCCACAAAAATCCAAACAACTCCTATATTCTTTTAAATAATTACATACAGTACTGTACTGACTGAGATCAAGATTAATATTGGTTCTCACAAATACGGTATGTGATGATGCAACACAAAAATTATTTCTGCTCTTGCTAATTACAACTTTGATATTTAAGCCCCTATTGAGGAAACTTCCAGTGATTTTGGGAAGCTTTTGAATCTGGTCTGGTATTTCCATTTTATATGTAAAGTGACTCATGATCAGTTTTCACAAGAATATAGATGATTGACACTTTTGAACAGCCATCCTAAATATTTAAAATGATAGCGAATGGCATTATTTCCTTTCTCTTTGAACTTGCCTTTAAACACTGAATCTTTGATTTGTATTTGACAAACTATTTGTATATGACGAACTAAACTCTGGAGCTATGGACATAGAGCTTCAAAAATAGCGTAATCCAGTGGATACAGTGCCACAAAGCCAGACTGACAGCACAGTTAATATATCCTGGAATTAATAATGGGCACTCTAGAGGTGGGCTCATTCCAGTAGGGCCTAAAGTTGAGACTGCCTTTGCTCTTGGGCTGGTCATCCAGGCAGTGTTCCGCAAGAGCAAACAGCTGTGACTAGGTTAACATGCCCTTCCAAGCTTACCTGCTGCCAAATCACTGTCTTCTTCATTCATGATGGTAAAGAACAGATTAGATAAGAAAACTGTAACAGCAGCATTGTTATTTCTCAACAGGTCACACAAGAAAATACTGAGTATTTACAAAATGCTTGAAATCTCCAAAATGGTATTCCCACATTGATGTTTGTTTTTTTTTTGGCCAGAGGTAGCTAGTACTCGAGGAGATAGAGCAGCTGAGTCAATAGAACACCAGAGAAAAAGGCTTTTACTACTCTCAGCAGGCTGGAAATTCTAGCCTACGTTATGATTTAATATAGACAACCTGATGCACACAATACCTGATCTGAAAAGTTGTAAGTAATTTTTAAGCCCATTTTAACTGATACAGATATCCTGAATGAGCCCACTTTCACTCTAATTTCCAAAATCTAACAATCAAATTCTAAATAGTAGGCTTTCTATCCTCATATTACTTTGATCTACTTCACAATTTATCTTTAAAATAACATTAACAAAGTCCAGGAATTAAAGGTGTGTATCATTTTGGTTTTACCTGTTACAGTAATAGACTGCATTGTTTGGATCCAGTTCTATAGCCCTAGTGTAACAATCCACTGCAGCACCATAATTTTCTTCCTTCATATGATTATTACCTGAAATAAATTATAAAAAGCTCTTAAGGAATTAGATGAGACAGTATATAGTTAGATCAGATAGCTCTGTATGAAAGAAACAGAGCAGCTACCTTATAGCATCTATCTAAGGGAGTTTTGACTGCACTTTTTTGAGATACTTTTTTTTAACAGAAAAGTCATAGGATAATGCAAATAAAAATATCTACTATGTCTGTGAAGTTTATTATGTACATTGCAGTATGTCATAGAAAAGTTCCTCTTTTTATCTTGGTATTTCAGACTTTCCAGATAGTTTCTGCTGTTAAGGAAAGATCACTTCACTGAGAAGTGTCATTGTAATTGCAGTTCCACTCTAGTATACATTCATCAGTCTTAACTATCTTTACAAGCCCAATATACTATGTTAATTTTTTATTCTCATTTTCATATATGTTCCAACAACTTGCTTGTAACTATCTAAATAACACTAAAAAAATCAAACAAAAGTAAAACTAAGCACATAAGCCCCATTTTTGTGATACTACATAATTAACTCATTAAGATAATGAAAAGTATGTATAGCATAAGCAATTTAAAAAGATTCAAAAGTAAAATTTATCACCAAGGAAGCTTAGAACTTCTACTCTGTAACTAAGTTTCACATATTGCACTTATATTTTAAGTCCAGTGGAAAAAAATCCAGAAAATGTAACTTCTCTATGGACAGAAAATTCTGGACTAAGGTCTTTCAAAGCAAAGGACACCTTATACCTTCTTTTGTCCCCAGCACAAGGCAATCCTGGTAGTTTCTCTCTTTCCTGATGACACAGTAGTAAAAACCCTAGTTCAGAGTGCCCAAACTTGTCTGTCGTCCTGCTACTATCAATTTTTGGCTAGCTAGATCCTACAGAAGCCTTGGCTTCTAGAAATGTCAAGCAATTGTCAGGAAAATTATAGACTTCCACTGACTTCTTGTATTTTGGCCAGATATTTAAACCTTCTCCTAAAATAAACAAGTCAAGGGATAGGTCAATAAGTTACTACTGATGTAGGTAACTGCGTAAGCAAAGGCTAGAAAAGTTAGGTCAGTGCAAGAGTTTATCTCTGAGAGGAAGGAAGATTGTGGAGCAAGCCCTCAGTGCTTGCACTAACTAAAACAAGTGTACTTGCATTTTTTTGTGAACATAGAGAGCTTAGTGAACAAAACCAGATTCAAGTAATGAAGTATCATCAAAGTAGTACAAAATCACATCCTCTAATAGTGCTATACTAGACTGTAATTATAGTTAGCAGTCAAAGTTATAGTGAGAAGTCAAACTGTGCTTGCATGTATACCTTCAAAATACACACAGAGTATCTTTCTTGTTTCTAGAGGCCCACTGTTTACGCAGCTTTCCTTTGTTTCTAAGGTAAAGATCTGTACACTAAATTATGTTGTCAGACAAAAAAGCCTTGCAAGTTAGCTGCACTCAGCAAGATTGCAACAGTTAGTGTTCCTTTAAAAAATGCCATCAATGACTATCAATGTTAGAATTTCTGATACTGGTCTGAAAATGACCTAGGGTACAAGGCTAAGTTGGAGATAGTATCAGTGCATACCCTTCTTGTTATCTCTCTCTCCAGCTGCAACCTTGCTAAAGGAAAACAGAAAAATAGCTAGATCTACTAATTTTGCTGAGATAAGGAAAAGCAACTATATTATTCAATTTTAATATCATACAAAATCCTTAAGACAAAAAATTACACAAATGGTTATGCTTTTGAATATGTGTCCTCTATACTGAAAATACTACCTTATTGTTAAAATTATGCTGTGGTAATAAAACATAGAGTTTCTTATGGTCAGGCCACCTTTACACTATAAAAACCTGCACACAATCTGTGTTCTTGCATCTTATACTAAGCCAAATTGTCAAATGATATACAAGGTTAGGTAAGTAAATTCAAGTATTGAGTATTCTGAAGGGAATATTACTCCTGGTTACCAAGAAAGACAATTCAGCTCCCTGATTTTGTTTTGCCATTCATTAGCCAATTTTTACAAATATTAGGGCTGGTTTGAGACCAGAGGAGGACCAGGCTTGTGCTGGCCACAGAGGTAAGGGAAGGTATGCCATTGGTAAGTGCATACAGACAGAAATGAGGAAATCAAAGTTATAAGGATCAAAATAACAGAGAAAGCAGAACACTAAGTTTGCATTTTATTATGGGAAATTACCAGAGGCATTTCAAGCAGTTCAAAACTGCTTACTAATACTCCTGACAGATGACACTGTAATTGGTCCTTTTCTAAAATTTAGACCCTTAAAATTTTTTCAGTAGAGATGTGGAATTACTTTGGTAAAACCACGCAAAGACTAACACATAGCACATGCTAATTTCATTTCCTCAGTCTATTCCACAGACCCTTGTGGACTGAAAGATAGCACGACTGAAGTCACAGATTTAAAACAGCTATAACACCCATGCCTGCAAAGTGCTGACTGTACCTACAGCTGAGTAACCATACAGAGACCTAGAGATATTCTTCACTTTCCATGAGTTGGCAGTAACAGCAAAACAAAAAGCCAGCATGTACAGCAGGTAGATTACAACTGACTAACACATTTTCACTTGTGACCTAACCCTGTTTGAGCTCTCATCCTCAGAATTAAAGAGCTAATAAGCAACTCCAACAATTAGGAAAACGTACTTTCAGAGCCAGTAGTAGACTGCATTTATGGTTACAGGTGACCAGTTTTAAGGTAAAAGAGACATGGAATTCATTTTGAAAAACAGTAGGACTTCTTCCACATTGTTATGGAAGTTTTGAGAGGATTATATGAATTAGAAGTTTACTTATTTAGCAATCAGAAGTTTTCTTATTTTGCAATTAGAAGTTTACTTATTTTTCCTATAAAACTCAACTGCCTGAAAATCTAACACATCATAAACAATGAGATTCATAAAGCATCAATCCATAACAATTATCAATGCAAAATGCTTTTTTCCATTCCCCTCCCCTTCTTTTTGACAGGAAATAACAAGGATTCCTTCTTAGGCAGCATTAGTGACTTCTATAGAACAGCTGCTTTTCCTCATATAACAGCAGTAACAGCTGCCAAAGGAAAAATAAACAATTGGCTTGTCTGCAATTTTTATAAAGGACACAAATAATTTCACATATGTGAAATACTAACCCTAGTAAGATCACAAGAATTTTTCCATTGGTTTCTGTTGGGTCAGTTTTTTACCAATGTTTGACATCACATACCCATTTCAATAAAAGCAGAAATTATAAGTATTAGCAATTCTACGCACAAACAGCCAAACAATATCTGTTCATTATTTAAAGCTTCTGCTATTTAGGAATGTTTCCAACTTTACATGTTATCCATAGACTTTAAGCAACCTCCAGAGCCTGGAAGACAATAAACATTATTTCCTTTGCTTCTGGATGGAACAAATCACCTAGCCCTCTTATGACATAGCAGCACCTGAGAATCTGTAAGCTGAAGTTTTTTTGTGGGGTGTGTGCTACCCAACTGCTGTACTATCACTACCTACAACAATGCAAAAATACAATAAATGCATAAGGCAATTTATTTCTGTTTTTATTACAAACCTTCATCCTTCAGTTGGTCAGCCTTTACAACACCCTCTGGTAAAGTACGTGAGAGAGGCAGCATCTCATTCTGTATGGGAAAAAATCCAAGGTTTTTTCCTTTAATATATAAGCCCTGATTTTATCAAAAACTTTCAGAAAGAAGTTAGAAGCATCAGCAAACTACGAATTACCTCAGGCACATCAGGCATTTATCTCTGGGAATTGCAAAATGTTTAAATTAAGAGTAAAAAACTTCAAGTGAGAATGAGACATCCACTCTTCAGTAATTTTCTATATGGAATTTTCCTTGTCTAGCTGAAATTAATTCCTCCCACTGCCCCCAAAGATCCACATTATGCTAGCTTTTACAGAAATGTAGTTTTTTCACATTTTCCTTAATTTTTCATGTAATTTTGACCTATATAGCACTTTAATATTTTGTATACAATATGAAACCTTAGCACATATTGATGGAGCAACTCTAGAATCTAAATTAAATTTTTACCTTTTGAATAGAATTTGCAAACATTTCTATCAAATGCTGTGAGGATGCAAGATGAGTATCTTCCAGGGTAATCTTAAACACAGTCTCCAGACACTGAATTGCAACTTACAGGGGAAAAAAAATTAATAACATAAGTCACCAGTTTCTCAATAGAAGCATAACTTCACTAATTTATTTATAAAGCTGTGACTCACTTTCTTATTCAGCTAGTAAAAGCAGCTCTTTGGAACATATCAAAAAATAAAGAGAGGTTACCTGATCGTCACAGAATTCGCTTGCCAAAAAAGATCTAAGATATAGACAATCCACATATAGCTTGGCCATTATATTTAAACCAATTTAAAATTTAATTTCAGTTCTCTCAGTACTTTAATTTTTTTTTTAAATATAAAAATAAAGTGATTTAACAAAAGCACCACAACTCATAATACAACTGTGAATGTCCATGTGTCATACAGCCCACCTCAAAGCACACAACTGGCATATATTTGTGTGCCATTACAGCTGGAAGAAAATGGCTCATCTTTACTGTATAGAATAAAGGCAATATACTTACTACTCTTACCTTTTTTTTGGAATAAAACATTTATTTGAAGACACTTTATTAATCACATGCTCTATTAATCACAAAACTTTATACTATAAAAAATATATCTGCAATATCCTTTCACATGTTCTGTGTCTAAGGATTTAAATGGCCCTTCCAAACCTGCAATAATGCAAATGCACTCACAGTAAACCTAAAAATGCAGAGCCATATCCTTAGCTGAAATTTTAAATACGCTTATATTTTTAGACAAAAGATCAGTGGCAACTACTATATACAATTCTGTCTATATACATACATATATATATATATATATATATATATGTGTACACACACACAGTTACACTTTTGCAAATGATACAATTATTTTCCCTATTATCTTAAGAACCTAGTACAATGTTTTTATTAATATGTATCTAAATATTTTAGACTGAAAACTGAAGAGGAACAAGGAAAGGGTCTTTGTAAGGCCTATCTTTACAACAGAGAAACAGAACAGAAAAATAGCTGTTTTAACACAGATTATGGACAACCAGGAGTATCTGAATTCAAATTAAGTATCAGTAAAAGCAGATTCTTAGTATTTAAACTTATCCTCAATCCAATGTTAATATAATAAATATAATTTGAATTATTATTTGCATTACAATGAAACTGAACATTAACTGAAAACTACTAAAGTAAAATTACTGCAGGTTAACAACAGTAAGGCCAGTTTTTATCTTCTATGTCACAGCTGGCAGGAAGTGGAGGGGAAAAGATTTGTAAAACCTAGAAGATGTAATTTTTTAAAAAAAATTATATAATAGAACTGTCTTACAAACAGCACGTCACAAAGTTAAAGTTGATAACATGTAAGAATTGAATACACTGCTAAATAGACATACAGGTTGCTCTTACAATCTATAAATCAATTGGTCAGGTCCTAAATCACCCAGTAAGAGCACTGAGGGATTTGGATTAAACTCCTTTGTCTCCTGCTATGTGAAAAACTTAATTCTTGTAAACACAGATTATGCTGAATTTCTAAATGTATATAAACCCTTAGTAGTACTTTTTATTACCAGGCCAATTATAAAATCATTGAAATAACACAAGTAATTTTTCCTTATATGACTTAGGAGGAAGCCACTTGCAATAGTTTACTTACTAATTTTCCCTGCCAGTTTATTTTTTACTGAAAGGCGCTCCTTTTTCTGAATGCATCTCCTCATTTGTAGTTTTGCATAAATTTTAAATACAATGGCATCCCTTATCTTTCTCAAGGCATAAAATCTATGACACCAAATCTCTATGATATAGAAGACTTACACAAAATGCAACAGTGCACATTGTCTGTAAACAGAATTATTCTGACTATAGTATTATTAGTACTCAGCATTTTCATCATATAATTAGTTGGTGCTGTGAATTCCCATATTCCTCCTTTAAGTGGAAAATGGAATATATAATCCTTCTATCTATCACATATGTAATAAAATTAGGACCTCTTATAGGATGAATCAATAGGTTAGAATAACCGCTGGCTAAATGCAAGCCAACAATGGAAACCCACATAGAAATAAACATTGCTTAACAGAAACATTTTCAAATCAGAAAATATAAGAAGTTGTGATCAGGTTGGTAACTACCTGTTTTAACGCTCCACAAAAACATGACTCCAGTTAAGTCAAAGGAGTGGAAACTTGTTTTTTGCCTGTTTTCTCAGGAGGCCAGCCTACCAGCACCTTGCTATCCCATTTATCAAAGTGAGGAAGTGTCAGATGCTGCAAGCTCGATATTATCAGGGCAAGACTTGATGCACTATGTGAGCTACTCACCAAAGATTTTTCCAAAGCTTGATATCAAACCCCAAAGTTATCTGTTCTCACAATTGGCTCTATCATCATCCACCTAGGTGGTGGCTGAAGCTTGAAGTGATCACTTTGCAAACCACTGCAGAACAGCTGGGGCTCACACAAACACTATCTGACCAGCACCTGGGCTATGCTGGAACCCAGCTCTGTATCCCCAGAGCCACAAAGCTCCAGGACTTTTGCTGTCCAAACACAAGCCTGCATCACCAAGCAACACGAAGGCATCACAACCAACATGCAGGCTGAATAATGAGCATTAATTGGGCTGCTGAGGCCCCCTTAGTACTTGCTGTTATCCTGCTTCATCTTACACATAACCTTACCCATGTCAAATACTACATGCATTCACTGCCTTCCTGTTTTGGAAACACTCCCTTACAGAAATTAGTTATGGTATATAAATCATAGAAGTAAGAAGAAAATGACAGCCTTGTATGTGTTGTAGAGAGTTCTTGCTTTAATCCCACAGAAACAGGTGCTATTGAAAAGAAGAACAAGAGAAGGACAGAGAGAAAAATAACCCACCCTGTAAACAAGAAAGAGAAATAACTGCAATTTAAACACAGTTTAAAGTATAACTTGGAAAAATGAAAGTTTCTAGTTCATACAAAAGAGTTGAGCACTAACCACCAGGGATCTGTATCACTGCTCTAGATGCTAGGGGAATATATTTCTCTCTGGTCTACCTTCCAATTACTCTGCTTTCTCAATATAAGGCATTTTATTCATCAAGTACAAAGTTCCAAAAGAAAATTTACTCTCTCATTGACATTTCCACATAATTCAAACATGCAGTATGCAGGTTATCATTGAGTACGAATACATCGTAGACTTTTATTTTATAAAGGCTCAATTTTTTGGGGTGATGTTCTATCTCTTTTTTTGTTGTTTCATGGGAAATGGGAACTGTCTGAATTGCTTCTTGGCACAGTCACATAATGATACAGTGTGTTTTGTCTTTTCACAGATACCAAGTAGGTACATAAGGTATCAACAAAAACTATCAGTCAATTCTTTTCATCCCTTATGTCTCCACCTAACATTAAACACTTCAGTGAGTAAGACTTGGCTATTGCTACTCTACATGCACTGAAGATATTTTGCGCAACAAAAATGAGTCTATTTTTCAGAATGCCCACCTCTTATCCTCTAACACATAGCATATGGTACCATGCTTGTGGGAGAGCACAAATCTAAAAATAGGATTTCAGATCTGTATTAAAATGGTAAATTTTGCATTGGCTTAAAGCACAACTGAGGTTTCATAATATTTTTTATTTAGAAAACTTAATCTTAAAATTGGTTCTTTCATATACACATTGGCTAAGGCTGCTCTAAGACATGTTATTAGGTAATTTTCAACTGTAACCCAATGTTTACCAGTTTCATTATAAAAACAAAAGTAAATCTCTTCATCTTTCATTATATATTATTTCCAAAAACATGTTTTCTTTCATCAGATGAACATCATCTGATGAATATGACACAGGTTAAATTTGTAGATGACTGCTGCTTTTCAAATGTACAAAATGCTCCAGATTCTAATGTAAAACCAAATCTTTTGGCTTTTATTCTTTTGGGACTATCCTTTGAATATAATGACACAAAGCTTTCTTGTTTACTTTTGTGAACAACTACACTGGATGACCAATAGATAATAGAAGGAAGCACACTCCAGGTTTTTAATTTATGCCTTAGAGAAGTAGGACTTGCTTTGCATCTCAGCAAAGTCTCTCCATGCCTAAGATTTCACAGACTCAGTGATCAACTGCACTGCTGGTCCTAGACTTCTTCCAAACTCCTCCTCTGGCTGACAGACACAACCAGAGACTGCTTGAAATAGTAGAGAGATCTTTTTAAAGGATGCTGTGAAAAAATTACTGCAGTGTTAAGACTTAAGTCTTCTCTCAGTTTCACATTCTGATACCACCTGCATGAAGTCTCCAGGAAGTAGGAAAAGGGAATAAGAGCAGTGTGAAGGAGAACATCAAATATTACAAGGTTTACGAAGACCTAATGAGTATCTGTCAATAGAGAACTACTGAGAGAATATGTCTACAGAAAGATAAACTTGGGTGTATAATAGAAGTTATACTATACAGAAAATATTCATTACCACATACGCTTTGGAACCAGTACTCAAGTGAAAGAAATTTATCTTATTTTCTTAGGATGTCTTTTTCCTCACAGATAACACAGAATCCTTGAAAATAGGAAGCAGTTCTCATAAACCAGAACCTATACAGTAATTGTTGTACTTCCTCTATAATCAGCAGAGCTACTAAAAGATATGAAATGAAGAAAGAAACCAAACATGAAAGAGAGAAAGAAGCACCAGAAATTTATGGTACACATATAGAAGTCATTACCAGTGTCTGCATTACAGCACTGCTTAACTTAGAATCATAGAATTGTTCAGGTTGGGAAAGAGCTCTGCAACTGATATGATTTAAAGTACCTGCTGCTCAAATTAAGGCACTACAGATTTGTAGCTTTATAAAACTTCTTGAATGAGAGATGTCTTAAAATTAATAATCTCAGAAACATTAGGATCATGATCTTATTTGCAGCTAATATTTGCTGGCAGTTTCATTTACGTCACTCCAGTTACTTTCTGTGATATTATACATAAAGGAATTTAACACCTGTAGGTATTATATACATACACTCACACACACACACACATGCACACACATATATATATATGTATATATACATATAAATAAAAAGATACTAAAGCACCTTTGTTGCTTACCTTCCAAGCTTTCTTGTTCATCTGGAGTGAAAGTATCCATTTGACTCTGTTCTCTCAAGAAATGGATGACTGCATAAACCAAGCGCTTGACTGATGACATGTTGAATTTGTTTTCTGTTATGTCTTAAAAACACAGAATCTCTTATTTCAGAGAAATGAATCCCTACAGTATTCCAACCTCCAAGTAAACTCAGTAAGTATACACAATTCATAAAACCTAATCCTTCACCAGAAAGCCCAATAACATGATGCCTTGGAAAAGGTGAATTTATATTGGTTAGGGAAAAATGCTACGATCATGTAGTCTAACTATCAGCAGAAAACCACATACTTCCTCCAATTCATTCCTGTAAGAAAAGATCACCAAGGCTAAAATAATTTAGCAAGTTAATTTTCATTTATAGAGTTTTTTCATGGTTTGCACTTTATTTACATATACACTTGCAAGTAGGAGCACATGCTAAAGTCAAAACCAATTAAAAAGCCACTGTGATAAATATAATAACATAAAGAAGCACACTTCAATAGAAGTTGTTTAGTGATATAACATGGTGTTACTCCTTGATAAAAGATGTTCTATGGTCTGATATGGTGTTATCCTTTGACAAAGGATGTTCTATGGTGTGACACTCACAGTGTTACCCTTTGATAAAAGATGTTCTACAGTGTGACATGCACAATGTTATCCTTCAATAGAAGATGTTCAATGGTGTGACAGAGCGTTATACTTTCATAAAAGGTGTTCTCTGGAGGGACACGCTATTATCTTTTAATAAAAGGTGTTCCATGATGTGGCACGCTATTATCCTTTCATAAAAGGTGTTCAATGGTGTGACACGCTATTATCCTTTCATAAAAGGTGTTCTATGGTGTGACACGCTATTATCCTTTCATAAAAGGTGTTCTATGGTGTGACATGGTGTTATCCTTTCATAAAAGGTGTTCTATGGTGTGACATGGTGTTATCCTTTCATAAAAGGTGTTCTATGGTGTGACATGGTGCTCTGAGCAGCTTATTGTCACTTCGGACAAAGAAACGGAACACCGTGACCTCGGTGCATACTTGTGATTAGTGACACTACTGGCTCAGTACTCCATTCAGCATCAGCTGGGAGTTATATAACTTGGAGGACAATTTTAGTCACAACTTTTCAAGTTATTTTTCCTTAATCCATTTTGATTTAAAAGGGCACAATCTTATCCAGTTCTCCAAGGAAAGCGGGTTTGAAATAAAGCATTAAATGAATGGCAAGATCAGGACCAGCTCTCGCTACGTTATTTTCTCTCCACAACCCGCGAGCAAACCGGTGTGCGGGCAAATCCACACTAGGCAAATCCCGTCGCGGAAACGGGGAAAGCCGGGAAGGCCACCGGCTGAGGATGTACAGACGCGAGCACTGGGGTCCTCTCTCGGTCCCCACGAGGGACAGCGCGGGTCCCAGCGGCTGGGGATGTACAGCCGGGGACACTGGGGTCCTCTATCCGCACCCATGAGGAACAGCGCGGGTCCCACCTGCCGGGCTGCCCTCCGGCCCCGCGCCCACCTCCCGGTCCTTCTCAGGCCCCAAGGACAACTCTGCACCACCGCGGCGAGAGCCCCTCCCGGCACCGCACGGACCGCGGCCGCACCGCCCGGGGCCCGATCCGCCCCACCGGCCCCGAGCTCCACGCACCGGGGGCTGCATCACGGGGACGGGCATCGCCCTTACCGTGTGAGATACGGCGAATCCGCGCTGCCTCCGGCTGCGAGACACCAGGGACGCGGGGGCGTGCGGAGGCGGCGGAAGCGGATGCGCAGGACCGCGACGGAGCGGGGTTGAGCGCTGCGCCCGCGGGCGGCGAGAGGGCGGTGAGAGGGCGGCGCGGTAGCGAGCGCGGGAGCAGAGCCGGTTCTTCCTCCTCCCTGTCCTGCCTCCTCCTCTTCTCTGCTGCCTGTCCTTCCTCCTCCGGTCTTTTCTCCTCCTTCTTTCCTCCTCCTCCGCCGCCACCGCCCCCCGCACCGCCCCCCATGCTGTCGCTGTGCGCGGGCGCGGCTCGCAGGTAGGCGGGCAGGGCAGGTGGTAGTGCCGCGCAGCCCGGGACGGGAGCGGCCTCTGGTGCGGGGGG